CTTGGATGACCAAACATGCTGATTCTGGAGTTTACTTTCTTCAATGAACCCACTTGACTTGTGCTGATGGTAAGGTTCTCGCCCCGTTTCCAGCCTCCTACTGTTTCCTTTCCCGACTACTTCTGAGACATCACCGTGTTCCAAACAGCAGCACCCTCCCCACAGACAGACAGGCTCTTACAACAAAAATGTAGACACATGTTCCTTCCATGTAAGTGGAGGAACATGGAGGGCCACATGGAAGAGCCTGTGGTGGACCCTGAACCATAGAAATTTATGGCACAGAAGCAAGGTGAAAGGTTATGGCAGAGGTTCCACAGAAACCCATCTCCACTTTCGGGAAGCTATACCATGTGAAGGGCGCTATATAAATGCAAATTGTTGTTGTTGTAGTAGTTGCTTTCCTTCAAAATCCTCCTTGTTTACCGTTCCCACCCAAGCCTTCCCCACCTTCCTCTCGGAGACATCTCCACCCTCCTATCTTCCCTCTCCCTCTGCTCTAAACGCCTCCTTATCTTAGGCGACTTCAACCTCCACTTCACCCCCTCCTGCTCTACCTCTGCCAACTTCTCCTCCCTCCTCTCTTCCCTCAACCTCTCCCTCCTCATCCACTTCCCCACCCATGTCTGTGGTCACCCCCTTGGCCTGGTGATCACCTGGGGCCTCACTGTCTCGGACATCACCACCGTCGATAAAGCCATCTCGGACCATCACTTCATCTCCCTCAACACCTCAGTACCCATTCCCCCTTTCCCAACCCTCCAACATTACATATCGTCCATGGAAAAAAAATTCCTCCCTCTCCCTTTCCACTGCCCTGGAATCATCTGAACTCCTACACCTCTGGCCCTCCCTGACTGATCTCCCCTCCTCACTCTCCTTTCTCCACAACTCCCTCTCCTCCATTTTGGACTCCCTTGCCCCCCTCACCTCCCAAACTCCTCATACTACCGTAAATCCCCTGGTGCACCAGCCATCTCTGTTCCTTCAAGGCACAAGTGCGAGCTGCCGAACGTGCCTGGACTAAATCCAAACTAAAGGTCCATCAGCAGATTTGGCTTCACCACAACAAGACCTACCGCTGCGCTCTTGCCTCCGCCAAATCCTCCTTCTACTCCAAGATTATGTTGGAGGCAAAGGACAACCCCAGGCTTCTCTTTTAACTGTCTCCTCTGTCCACCTTTCCATTCCTCGCCCATCCTCTCCTCAAACTCCAACTGTGAGGAGATGCTGGACTTCCTCGAATCTAAAATCGAGGGGATATGTTCAGCCATCTCTGCCCTGTCCACTGCCACCCCCAAATCACCTCTCTCATGACCCACCCCCCACTCGTCCCCACCATGCTCCTTCGACCCTATCTCTCCCTCCTCCCTCACCACGACTGTCTGCAAACTCAAACCCACCACCTGCTCCCTCGATCCCATCCCCACCTCTCTCATCTCCCAGCTCCACCTTCTGGCCCCTCTCCTGTAAGATGTCATCAATCTTTCCCTGTCCACTGGTTCAGTGCCCACCCCCCTAAAAACAGCTGTCATCACCCCCATCCTGAAAAAACCTTCCCTTGACCCATCCCTTCTCTCCAGCTACAGCCCCACCTCTAACCTCCCATTCCTCTCCAAGGTCCTGGAATGAGTCGTCGCGTCCCAGCTCCGCTCCTTTCTCTCTCACCATTCCCTCTTTGAACCCCTCCAATCCGGCTCCGCGCTGCCCACAGCACGGAAACAGCCCCGGTCACAGTCACTAATGACATTCTGAACATCTGTGATCAGGGCTCCCTCTGCCTCCTCGACCTCTTTGCCGCCTTCGACGCTGTCGACCACTCCATCCTCATACACCGCCTCTCCTCTTTACTCAATCTTCACGGACCTGCCGTTGCCTGGTTCGATTCCTATCCCTCTGTCTGTCGGACATCAAGTCCTGGATGAGGGTAAATTTCCTGCAGTTGAATATGAACAAGACTGAGGCCCTCCTGATTGGCTCACACCAGCGCCTCCGCACCTCAGGCTCTGGCAACATCAACCTCCATGGTTGCACACTACAACTCACCAACTCACCGCCAGTCAGGAACCGAGGTGTCTTGTTCGATTCTCAACTCTCTTTTCTCCCCCACATTTAAGCCATGACCCGCTCTGCCTTCTCTCACCTCCGTAACATCACCCGACTCCGCCACTACCTCACCCCTCAGGCGCTGAAACTCTTGTTCACGCCTTCATCACCTCCAGGCTCGACTATGCAAACTCCCTGCGTGTCGGCCTTCCCAACTCCTCCCTCCACAGCTGCAGATAATCCAGAACTCTGCAGCCCGTGTCCTCTCCCGCACCAAACTCCATGACCCCATCTCCCCCACTCTCGCCCGACACCTTTGGCTCCCTATCGTTCAGAGGATCCAGTTCAAGATCCTGGTCCTCACCTACAAAGCCCTCCATGGTCTCGCCCCACCCTACCTCTGTGACCTCCTAACCCTCTACCAACCTGCCCGGTCCCTACGCTCAGTCGGCTCTGGCTGCTCCACCTCCCCCAACCCACCCGCCCCACCATTGGTGGGAGAGCCTTCAGCCACTCTGCCCCCAACCTCTGGAATTCCAACCCCAGTCACTCCGCCTCGCCCCCTTCTTAGCCTCCTTCAAGTCCCTCCTCTTCAACCATGACATTAGCCAGCCCCCCTTCCCCTCCACTCACCCCTGACCCCCAGCTTGAGTCTGAAATGCTGTCACTATCCAGCACCTTGGGACGTCCTCCCGACGTGAAAGGCGCTATACACATGTAACCTTATTGTTGTTCTTAAAAGTGCAAGCGACAGGCTGAAACTGACCGAGAAGATAAACTCCCTGAACTGACCTCCATATCTGAACAAGAAAGCAGTGACTGTGTATGTATTTAACATGTAAGTGACATACAAAATAATGGCATCACTTAATCTTTACTTTTAATTAGCCAACAATCCTACATGTTTAATGAAAGGGTTTTCATATGTAGACTTTTATTGATGATAGTTATGCATTCAAGTCTCATCTGCTAATAAGTGTCTTTGTATATTTTTCACTAACATATTTGCCAAAATTGTATTTTAAGATTATATTGTGTGTGAAAGTTTAATAAAGATCAGATAATAGTGATACTTGCATTTGATATAGAGCCTTATCATATCGCTGAGATGTCTCAAAGCGCTTTACCGGATATATTGTAAAGTGGATTGAATCATAGAATCATAGAATTATACAGCACAGAAGGAGGCCATTTGGCCCACCGTGTCTGCGCTGGTCTTTGAAAAGAGCTTCCAAATCAATCTCACTCCCCTGCGCTCTCCCCATAGCCCTGATCAACCCCACTCCCCGCTCTCTCCCCATAGCCCTGATCAACCCCATTCCCCCGCTCTCTCCCCATAGCCCTGATCAACCCCACTCCCCCGCTCTCTCCCCCATAGCCCTGATCAAACTCACTCCCCCGCGCTCTCCCCATAGCTCTGCAAACATATCCTCCCCAAATAATTATCTACATCTCTCTTAAAAGTTGTTATTGAATCAGCCTACCCCACCATTTCAGGCACTGCATTCCAGATCCCAACAACTCGCTGTGTGAAAACATTTCTCCTCCCCTCCCCTCTGTTTCTTTTAACAACTATTTTAAATGGGTGTCCTCGGGTTACCGACCCACCCGCCAGTGGGAATAGTTTCTCCTTGTTCACCCTATCGAATCCCCTCATCATTTTGAAAACTTCTATTAAGTCTACTCTTAACCTTCTCTGCTCCAAGGAGAATAATCCCGGCTTCTCTCGCCTCTCCTGATAACTGAAGCCCCTCATTCCTGGTACCATCCTGGTCAATCTCCTTCACACCCTCTCCAATGCCTTGACATCCTTCCCAAAGTGTGGGGCCCAGAACTGAGCACAGTCTCGAGCTGAGGCCTAACCGGTGTTTATAAAGGTTCATCATAACTTCCTGACTTGTGTATTCTATGCCCCTATTTATAAAGCCCAGTATCCCGGATGCTTTATTAACAGCTCTATCTGCCTGTCCGGCCACCATCAAAGATTTACTATATGACCCCCAGGTCTCTCTGTTCCGTTAAGATTGTACCATCAGCTTATATCGCCTCTCCTCATTCTTCCTCCAAAAATGCATCACTTCTCATGCATTTCTCCACATTAAACTTCATCTGCCCCGTGTCTGCCCATGTTACCAGTCTGTCAATGTCCATTTGCCGTCTGTTACTATCCTCCTCACTGTTTACTACTTTTCCATCTTAGTATCATCTGCAAACTTGGAGATTGTACTCCCTGTACCCAAGTCCAGGTCATTTATATAGATCACAAACAGCAGTGGTCCCAATACTGACCCCGGGGGACACCACTGCGCACTTCCCTCCAGTCAGGAAAACAACCGTTTACCACCACTCTGCTCTCTGTCTCCCAGACAGTTCTGGATCCGCTGCCACTGTCCCTTTAATACCGTGGGCTTCAATTTGCTTACAAGTCTCTTAATGCCTTTTGAAAATCCATATAAACTACATCAACTGCACTACCTTCATCCACCCTCTCCATTACTTCATCAATAAAATTGGTCACATGGCTGTTTGCACAAATTAGCTGCCGCAATCTCCCACAAATCAGTCACTACACCTTACAGTAATCCCTGTTAAGCGCTTTGAGACATCTTGAAAACGAATAGGGCTTTGGATCAAATATTGGATTATATTATTAGTTACTGGTTGGGTTGAATGACTCCGTCTCCCCCCTTGGGTAACTCCTCTCTATTGCTGGTTACGAGGTGATGGACGCTAGTTAATCTGACAGTCAGAGGGCCTCTCACATGCCAGGATGTGATTGGCTGCGTGGATTCCCACCCGCTGTCAGTGTTTAGGGATTATGTCCACCTCTCCCGGAGTACTCAAACAACACTGACAAAATCCATAAACTGATGTTACCTCTTTCCTGTTTGGCTCACAGAGTTTCACACCAGTGATGGGGGAAGGGAGAAACCAAAGAGAAAAATTATTCCCACCTTTGCTTGTGAGGTGTAGGAGCCATTGTGTAATTCCAGGAAGAGTTCCCCAATCCAGCTACACAGCATCGTGGTATCAGCTTCTAATGTTGAGAAAAAGATCTCTGGGGTGGAGAGTTTTACCCTGAGAGAGAGAATATTCATCAGCAGTTTCTGTAATAAGAGTGGTTTATGTTAAGCAGTTTGGTGTATATATTATGTGCACACACAACTTGACATTCCAGATGCTTATATAAGGCCCCAAATGGTCTGACAACACCTGGAAGCAGCAGCAATATAGAATTGTAGAATCATAGAATGTTACATCAAAGAAGGAGGCCATTCGGCCCATCGTGCCTGTGCCGGCTGTTTGGAAGAGCGACCTAATCAGTCCCACTCCCCCACTCTTTCCCCAAATCCTTGCAAATCATTCCGTTTCAAGTTCCTCTCCAATTCCCTTTTGAAGGTCATTATTGAATCTGCTTCTATACAAATAGAATTTTGTTGTTGTTGCTTCCGGTTTTGAGACAGTGCATTCCAGACCGTGCCTGTGAGGTGTAGGAACCATTGTATAATTCGAAGAGGAAATCCCCAATCAAGCTACGCAGCATCGTGGTATCAGCTTCCAAAAATTGAAGAGTTTTTACCCTGGACAGACTGACTGTATGTGAGAATCAGCTGTGTTGTGGATAAGGAAAGTCCATTTCACAGGTTACCATGTCGAAAAACAGACTGCAAACCCTCCATTAAAATGGCAGTTAAGTTTGTTGCCTGAGGAGAAGAAATCTGATTCAACCAGCCCGCATTGTGTCCTCCTTCCAAGAATTCCTTTGCCTCGCCCCTCCCTCCCTATCATTTTGACCATGCTGTCGGCTTTTGGTTCCTCCAGCCCTCCCCCACCCCCTTCAGCTTCGCACACCCCTCCCTTCCAGAGAAACAATTTGCTCTGGTGGGGAATCCAGAACAAGGAGCATCATCTTAAAATGAGAGCAAAGCCATTTAGGAGTGAAATCAAGGGCTGTGGAAATCTGGAACTCTCTTCCCCAAAAGGCTGTGGATTATAGCTGCATCCATTCACATCTTCAAGACTGAGGTGGATGGATATCTGTTAGGTCAGGGTATCAAGGGATATGGGGCAAATAATTGAGGTACAGATCAGCCATGATTTTATGGAATGGTGGAACAGGCTTGAGGGGCTGAATGGCCTCCTCCTGCTTCTCCAGCTATGGATTTTATTAAAGAACTCTGTGAGGTTCCCCTGATGTAGGAGGTGTTATACAAATGTAAATTATTGTTGTACTCCTCACCACTGTTACTTACAAACCCAGCTCAGAGCCGGTACATGTCACACAGATTTCTGACCATCCCATTTGGACTGGGAGTAGTTTCCCGGGATTAGGACACACATTTCCTGCACATTGAAGTGACTAAACTGAGTGAATTGAAGTGAATGCACCTGCACTCTGATGGTTCTCTACACTTTGCTGAATTAATAATAATAATCTTTTGAGTTTTGACGCAGCGCCTTATCACATCTTCAAGACTTCTCAAAGCGCTTCACAGAAACTGAATTGACTGTATATTTTGTTGGCGAAATGTGGTGGACAATTGCATACAGCAGCGTCCCACAAACAGGGTGTTTTGAGTGATCAAAATATTATTATTATATTTTGAAGGGATTATTATCCCCGGAAATTGATCCATCAATCGACTAACAACCAGGTTCCTACTTACTGCTGGGTAAACAGAGGTGTGTGGAGTAAGAAAACTTCTCTCAGGTGTCACCATGCCCGGGATCGAACCCAGGTCCTCTTGCTCGCGAGGCAAGTGCTCTAACCACTGAGCTATGGGACTCCACAAAGGAAGCGTGCAAGAGTAGTGAATGGTGGTTCTCTATCCAGCCCGGTACTGAAACAAGCGTGCAGTGATCAATCTCAACTCTCTTACTAGTCATTAGAAAGAGAGCCCTGTAGCTCAGTGGTTAGAGCACTAGTCTCGTAAGTGAGAGGACCTGGATTTGATTCCTGGGAAGGGTGAAATATTGGGCAAGTTTCCTCACTCCACACGTCTCTGTTTACCAGCAGTAAGTAGGAACCCGGTTGTTAGTCAATTGGTGGATCGCCTTTCCAGGGGTAATAATCCCTTCAAAGAAAAATAATTTGGTCATTCAATCCACGACTGTTTGTGGGGCACTGATGTGCATGATTGGCTGCCGCGATTCACCCACACAATATACAGTCACTACACTTGACAGTATATTCTGTGAAGCGCTTTGAGACATCTCAAAGACATGATAAGGTGCTGTATTAAATAGAAGGATTATTATTAGCTATACAATTTCAAACATTATTATCTGCACAATATCTTTCATGAACTGCGGCATAATGTGACAGAAAGGCTCGGTGATGCACAAATAGCTCAGAAATGAGTGGCTTCAGGGCCTGACTAAAAAAGAAAAGTTATATGAAGCGCACAGATGGCAAGACTATAAAAAAGGTATTGTTTCCTGACCTGGGGAGCCCGTCGGTGTCCTGCATTCTCTGCAGCCGATCCAACATCTTCTGTGTAGGTCCACCTCCCCCATCGCCAAACCCAAACAACAGGGCACTGTCATTCACACGGCCTTTGTCCTTGTTATTTCTAACAGTATTCAGCAACTGCAACAGAGAAAAGACAATCCTTCTCACTGGTCACGTACAACAGGACAAGGCTGACAGTCAGTCTTGTCACAGGAGGTCTAATTGCTGGAACAGTTTGTTATCACAGGATAATAATAATAATAATCCTTGCATTTGATACAGCACCTTATCACGTCTTCGAGACGTCTCAAAGCGCTTCACAGAATACACTGTAAAGTGAATTGACTTTATATTTTGTGGACGAAACACAGTAGCCAATTGCGCACAGCAGCGTCCCACAAACAGTCATGGGTTGAGGGAAGGGAGAGTGAGCATGGTAGCACAGAGTAGAAAGAAAACACATTTTTCACAGAAATATTATCCTAGTCCCATTCATTGCGTTGTGGAAGTTCACTTGTACTCACATCCTCCACTTTACACTTCATTTCATAAGAATTCCCGGGCGGAAAATGTGTCAGGACCCTGGAGCCATCGATGCCCTCCCAGAAGAATGTGTTGTGCTGTGGAGGTTACCAGACACGGAGAGCAGTAGGTAAGGATTTAATTAACAAAGAGGGTGATATATAAATGCTTTTCTTCGTACAATTTCTGGGTCTGAAAATGTTTGGGTCTGCCAGGTGTCTGGAACATGCAGAAACCCATCATTGTGCTTAAGTGTATCGGAACCAGACAGAGTTTCACGTATGTGCTTGTATGAGGCTATGCCTGTAGCCTCATTTAGTGGTGGTGTTCATTTAATACCAATTGAGGTGGCTTACATATGTACGTACTTATGTATGTAAGCCACCTCAATTGGTATTAAATGAACACCACCACTAAATGAGGCTACAGGCATAGATTCTGTAGGAAACAGAAACAGCACATCAGAGTTTTGGCTGCAGTTACAGCACATTCTGGGAGCAGAGAATCGGGTTCTCCATCTGGTGTCACGTGTAATGTTACCTTTTATTTTCTAGATTGTCTCTCCCCACTCGGCCAGCCACCTTAGAAAGGATATTGATTGTGCTACAGAATTGTCGAGTTGTGTAAGTTTGTATGTGTGTGAACCACAAGCGAGCAGTGGGACAGACATGTGAATGTGCTGCACCTGCATTTCTACAGTATTTGTGGTCAGGTCGTTTCAATGGGAATTTGAACGCTTTCCGCCGTGTAATCGGCTTCTCATAGTGACGAACGCTGGAACAGCCACTCACCGGGAACTCGTTCACCAGGTTCCAGCTGAGCTTCTGTGTCAGGAAACGTTTGATGCCACTTCCCTGCATGATCTGTGGCAGCTGAGCCGAATAGCCAAACGTGTCTGGCAACCAGAACTGTCAACACAGAGAGAAACTGTTACTATAACAATAATAATCCTGGCATTTGATTCAGCGCCTCATCACGTCTTTGAGTCGTCTCAAAGCGCTTCACAGAATACACTGCAAATTGAATGACTTCATATTTATGGGCGAAACACAGCAGCCAATTGCGTACAGCAGTGTCCCTCCCACACACAGTTGTGGATTGAGTGAACAAATTTTTTTTGATTTTGTTTTAATTTTGGAGGGATTATTACCCTCCAAAAAACTGATCCACCAATCGAATAACAATCGGGTTCCTACTTACTGCTAGGTAAACAGGCGTGTGGAGTAAGGAAACTTGCCGAAGGTTTTATCCTGCTCGAGAATCAAACCCAGGTTCTCTCACATGCGAGGCGAGTGCTCTAAACACTGAGCTACAAGCCTGCACAGCAGTCTAGATCTTAGTGGGGGCAAATAGGTGGAGATTCTAAGTTGTGTCTCTGCCAGTGTTCTAGTTGGAAACTCTGTGATGACTGATGTAGCTCTGTGCTGGTAACTGGGTCAATGATGACAAAAATGTCACTTCCTTTTGTCTTTGGTCTCAGCACAACTACCATTAACTCTTTAAACATCCTGTCTGATTGAGAATTCTCACACTGATAGCTGGCAAATGAAAGATTATTTTCTATTAATCAAACAAGGACAGAATTCTACGTTAACACAGAGTGCGACAGGTGAGGAAAGGAATCAAGATATTACATGATACATGTGAATGCAAGATGTAAAGTAGGATTGAATCATACAATTAGGGGTTGGCAGCACAGACATTCAATCAGAGTTTCCTGGCAGGAAGGATGACTGCAGAAAGGAATGGAGATTCAGTGTTTAAGCACGACAATGACTAACTTGCCTTTACACAGCACACGTCACACAGGAAGCATCCTGGAGCGCTTCACAGTAGTGGAGACTGACCCTGAGCCAGGGGAGAGGGAGGGGGCGGTGACCGTAAGCACAATCAAAAAAGGTCTTTAGGCAGGATTTGAAGGTGGGGAGGGAGGGGGAAGGCGGAGGGATTGAGGGATTGAGTTCCAGTGTTTCTGGGTGTAGTGGCTAAAGGCATGACCACCAATGGTGGAGCGAGCGCAAGAACGAGAAGAGAAACACTGGTCACACAGATGGCCTGGAATACAGGGACTGCTACTGGAAAACAATGAGCTGAGCAGCAAATACAATCTTTCCCGTGTTTCTGATCACAATACTGTGCACTGCTGGGTGTGGATCACCGCTGGTACACACAGCTCACCTTTAGATGACAATTTTGCTTTCATGATTGGAACCTGATGGTTATGCTGTGTAAACCCTAATGTTTTGGTCATGAGAAAATTGTCACTAAAAAGGTAACTGATGTTGACACGTCACATGGAGAAGGTGATAATAATAATCCTTATATTTGATATAGTGCCTTATCACGTCTTCGAGACGTCACAAGGCGCTTCGCAGAATATACTGTAAAGTGAATTGACTGTGTGTTTTGTGGGCAAAATTTGGCAGCCATGTACGCACAGCAGCGTTCCATAAACAGTCGTGGATTGGGTGACCAAATTATTATTTGGCTGAAATGCCACTGTTTATAATGGCAGTGGAGTTGCCACAGTAACCACTTACCTCACAGCACTTTCTCCCAAACTCCTGCTGGAAGAATCTTTGCCCCTGGAGGAACTGACGCACCATCGCCTCGCCAGAGGGCAGGTTCCCGTCCTGCAAATCCTGTACGTTAGTGCCCCCTACTGGCTGTCTCTCTAACTACGTCTATTATAATATAATAATAATAATCCTTGCCTTTGATATAGAGCCTTATCACGTTTTTAAGACGTCTCAAAGTGCTTCACAGAACAGACTATAAAGTGAATTGACTGTATATTTTGTCGGGAAAATACAGCAGACAATTGCACACAGCAGCGTCCCACAAACAGTCGTGGATTGAGGGACCAAATTATTATTATTATTTAAAATTTATCTTTTTGAAGGGATTTTTCCTCCAGAAAAGTGATCCACCAATCGATTAACAACTGGTTCCTACTTACTGCTCGTGCGTGTGGAGTAAGGAAACTTGCCCAAAGTTTCACCCTGCAAGACGAGTATTCTAACCACTGAGCTACAGGACTCCATTAAGCTTCTAACATGCTGATAAACTCCAACACAATCAAGCCTGCCGTCTGCATAAATTTGATTTATATACAAAATATTAAAACTACTCAGTTTTTTTCAAAACACAATTATACTGTATATGTAACTATACTGGAGCTCAAGACAATGCTATGTTACCGTGATCGATAAAATGAGTTATTGAAACTTTGCCTGACGTATCTCAGGTAATAACTAGCGGGAGACAAGCAGGACAATTCACTCCTATCTGGTATTGCATGGTTTGTGCACGTCTCAGCCTGTGCTGGTATATCACAAGGTTTCATCAGTGTAGCCATGGTGAAGGTGGTTATGAGAGTTAGAGCCAACTCATGAGTATTATAACACTAGTTAGACAGGAGATCGATCGATAAATAAATAAATATTCCTTGTATTGTACAACACCTTTCACATCTGGAAGACATCTCAAAGTGCTTCAGAAGATATACTGTAAAGTCTAGTGACTGTGTGTTTTGTAGTAATAATAATCCTTGCATTTGATATAGCACCTTATCACGACTTCGACACGTCTCAAATCATTTTACATTTAAATATATTGTAAAGTGAATTGACCGTATATTTGTGGGCGAAATGCGGTAGCCAATTGCGCACAGCAGCGTCCCACAAACAGTCGTGGATTGAAGTGACCAAATTGTTATTGTTTTTATGAAGGGATTATTACCCCCTGAAAAGCAATCGCTAATTGACTAACAACCGGCTTCCTAGTTACTGCTGGGTAAACAAAGGCGTATGGAGTAAGGAAATTTGCCCAAGGTTTTGCCCTGCCCGGGAATCAAACCCAGGTCTCTCACTTGTGAGGTGAGTGCTCTAACCACTGAGCTACAGGATTCAGTGTGTAGTTGTCCAATAACTGTTGGTCTTTCTCAGTTATTGTAATGTCAGTAGGTGGTGATGTGGTGACTGATGTCTGCTCTGATTAATGTAATGCCAACAGGGTGCAACATGCAGTACATGCTAATCTTTGTCCAATACTTCACCATTTCCACCCAGCTGCCTCCAACAGGGATAAACTGGCCTTTGCGGGCAAACTCCTGGATCTGTGTGTACAGGCCCGGATACCAGCTCTTCACCCACTCCAGCTGCTGTGCCTGACAGAGAGAGAGAAAGGAAACATCAATTCTATATTGAACACAAAGTGGGAATGTCACAACGGTACCTCACTAGCTGTCTAAATCCATTCAGTTCAGAAATAATTAACAGCAACATTAGAAATCAGGGTAATGATGTAATAATAATCCTTGTATTTGATATGGCACCTTATCACATCTTTGAGATGTGACAAAGCGCTTCATAGAATGTAAAGTGTAGTGACTATATTTTGTGGCCAAAACCTCAGTGCACACAGCAGTATCCCACAACATTCATAGATTGAAAGACTACATTTTTTTTCAATGGATTATTACCCCCAGAAAAGCGATCCGTGAAACGAGTAACAACCAGGTTCCTACTTATTGCTAGGAAACAGAGGCATATGGAGTAAGGAAACTTACCCAGTGTTTTGCCCTGCCCGAGAATCAAACCCAGGTCTCTCGCTTGTGAGGCGAGTGCTCTCACCACTGAGCTACAAAGCTAAATGTCTAAAGATTTCCAGGAGATAATCCTACAAATGAATACTATGTTATTGAAAGAAATTGTAATTATTTTATTATATAACAATAATGTTCACCTATAAAATACACAGTCACTATTCTTTACAGTGTATCCTGTGAGTACTTTTAGAAGTGCTCCTAAAATCATAGAATATTACAACGCAGAAGGAGGCCATTCGGCCCATCGTGCCTGTGCCGGCTGTTTGGAAGATCGACCCAATCAGTCCCACTCCCCCGCTCTTTCCCCAACTCCTTGCATTTTTTTCCTTTTCAAGTTCCTCTCCAATTCCCTTTTGAAAGTTATTATTGAATCTGTTTCCACCCTTTCAGGCAGGGCATTCCAGACCGTGACAACTCTGTGGGTAAAAAAAATATTTCTCTTGATCTCCTTTCTGGTTCTTTTGCCAATTATCTTAAACCTATGTCTCCTGGTTACCGACACACCCGCCAGAGGAAATAGTTTCTCCTGATCTACTCTATCAAAACCCTTCGTAATTTTGAACATTTCTATTAAATCCTCATCTCCTCTCTGGTTCTTTTGCCAATTATGGTGAAGCTATATCCCCTGGTGTGAAAGGCACGATACCAGATGTAAGCATTATTGTAATCCAATGCCCACGTTTGCCTGGCAATAAGTTGGTGGTGATAAGTGCTCTTGCACAATTGTGGAGCTTAGGTCAGAAATCACAACATGATATTTGTTTCTGGCCAAGTCCCCGCGGCTGCGCTGCACAGGACCGCCTCGTGGGGACCTGAAGCCACCGCGGGATCAATCCACCACAGCATGAGATACACCGCCACCTGGTGGTAACCATCAAATACTGCGGCAGCAATACAAGTCCTGGACCTACTGTATATCTGTAAATCACTGCAATGGGAATACCACACACTGCAGACTGACCTCCCCTCCTGTGAACATATACACTGGGCCCATACACAACAGGTTGGGGCGAAAACAGTGGACCACAGGGTCCATGGTTCACAGGAGTTCCCAATGTTAGACGGAGGCACCAGCAAAGTGTGATTGTTGCTGTCTTATTTCTTCTGAAGCTGAGACTGTAAAAATCACAGTGGGAGAGTTTATATATTTTCATTTGGCGAGAGCAATCGATAGCAGTGGGAATGGGAGCCAGCCCACTCACTCACCTCTTAGATATAATAAAATATAACTATATTAATAAAAGGGGAACATAATACAAGAAGGACTGACAGTGAAAGATACAAAAGGAGACAGAGCGATAGACAGAGGTTCACAGAGAAACTGAACGAGGGTCAGTGACACATATAAGCTGAGAGGGAGAAACAACAACAAAATTACAGAGCTAATTTTTTGTAATAGGGCCTTCACGTCAGGAGGACGTCCCAAGGCACTGGACAATCAGTGTTTCGGACCCGAGCTTGGGGTCAGGATCAGAGAGGGTGGAAAGCATGAGGGGGGGAGGGAGGAGGGTGACCAAAGGCACGGTTGAAGAGGAGGGTCTTGAGATGGGCAAGGGAGGGGACGAGCCAGAGGGACTGCGAGATGGGAGTTCCAGAGGGTGGGGGCAGAGTGGCAGAAGGCCCGCCCGCCCACGGTGGGGGTAGACAAGGTGGGGGATGTGAAGCAAGCCGGAGCCTGCTGAAGAGCAAGTGGGAAGGTTGGTAGGGGGTTTGGAGGTGGCAGAGGTGGGGGGGGGTGGGAGCAAAGCCATAGAGGGCTTTGAAGGTGAGGACCAGGATCTTGAACTGTATCCTGTGTGATGGGAAGCCAGTGGAGTCGGGCGAGGATGGGGGTGATAGGGTCACGGAGGCTGGTGGGGGAGAGGACACGGGCTGCACAGTTCTGGATGATTTGCAGCCTACGGAGGGAGGAGTTGGGGAGGCCGACAACAGTAGTCGAGCCTGGATGTAATGAAGGTGTGTCTGAGGGTCTTGGTGGTCTGGGGTGTGAGACAGTGGCAGAGCCGGGCGATGTTGCGGAGGTGGGGAAGGCAGAGCGAGTCATGGCACAGATGTGGGTAAAAGGACAGTTGAGGGTCAAACAAGACCCCAAGGTTCCAGAATGGCTCAGTGAGGGGGAATGTGGATTCTTGTATGGTGTCTGCGCCTGTGAAAGAATGTCAAATAAGAGAGAGAGAGGCAGTGACACACAGAGCGAGAAATGATACAGCGGCAGCGAAACAGATGAACTCACTAACAGAGAGAACCTACTGAGAGGTTTGTATGTGTGTGCATGGGAGTGGGAGGGAAGTGGGGGGGAGAAATGGGAGGAGTGGGGGGGACAGCAACACAGTGATGGACAGAAAGCAATTGCTGCTGTTTTTGATATTTTTTGATACAATCCCCAAATCCCTGGATCTCTGCCCATCTCTCCTTGTCTGTTGTATAAATCCGGGGATTTCAGGACACCAAAATCATACGGATTGGAACCCCTAGTCAGCCTAGACTGCGACTTTAAAGTCCCGACTTGGGGCTTGAACCCATAAGATAGATGGGAGTTCTGTATCGTAATGGTTAGAGCATTTGCCTCGCAAGCGAGAAAACCTGGTTTTGATTCCCAGGCATGGCAATTTTCCTTACTCCACATGTCTCTAGTTACCTTGCAGTAAATAGAAACCCAGTATTTAGTTGATTGGCAGATTGCTTTTTCGGGGATAATAATCCCTTCAAAAATAAACAAATCATAATAATTTGTTCACTTAATCCATGATTGTTTGTGGGACGCTGCTGTGCCCAATTGGCTGTCACCTTTCGCCCACAAAATATACAGTCAATTCACTTTACAGTATATTCTGTGAAGCACTTTGGGACCTGATAAGGCGCTATATCAAATGTAAGGATTATTATTATATAACCCTCTCAGACGGTTATATAATAATAATAAGTATTAAGAGACGAGAGTGCTCTCAATTGAGCCAGGCCGACACAACCGATGAACTAAAAAAGGTGAAGTATTCCCTCTCCCGAAGAACTACACATATTGTAGCTTACCTGTGAGCAGGTGAAAGTGAAGCTCGGGTTTTTCTCCATCAGACGCACAGTAGATATCCAACTGCGGGCACACTTGCGAATAGTCTCCTCATACGGCCACAGCCAAGCTGGTAAAGAGATGTTACAGCTCATATCACACTGCTTTGGTTTAATCACATGAATTCAGCAAAGTGAGGAGTGTCTGTAAAGTGTTGTATTTTGCATTGATATCGTGCCCTTCATGAGGGGTAGTATTTCTGTTTATTAAGCATTTTACAGATTATCACAACTGGTTCTTAATCAGTTTTCCCCAATAGTCCAGACCGTCTCCTAACATCCAGAGACTTCCAGATCTCAATATCCAAACATCAGTTTCAAAATGACCAAATTTGGAACACTTGTTACGACCTGCTTGGCTCAGACACCTGGAGATGTGCTGAGTGTGCAGACTGTTCTCTCCTCAGTGCTATAAAATAGTTCTCTTCTCAGTGCTGTAAAATGAACTGTTTAAACTCACTACATACAGGCCGACCGCATTATTAAGCGCCTGACTTGAATGCAAATTGGCTTAAAACCTAGATCTCCTCCCATCTACATCGTCAACCCGGAGATGCGAGCATCTCTTTATACCTGTTATAATTTATTATTTTAATGCCTTCATTTTTGGGATGCGGTTGCTCCTGTGCTTGTTCATTTTTATCTTCAATCAAGGGTGCAAACTCTTGACTAACCAGCGATTTGCGATGTCCTTTAAGCAAATGACGTGAAAGCGCTATACAAATGTAACCTTGTTTGTTTGATTTTGTTCTAAAATAGTATTAAAAGAAATACACTTATGATGTGGGGGAAGCACAAAGCGTAGTAAAGTTACCCAATGTAAATAGGAGAGTAAGGGAAGATGACCGAAGGCATAGTCAAAGAAGGTCTTGAGACGGGCCTTGAGGGACGGGGCAAACAGAGGGATTTCGGGTTGGAGTTCCAGAAGGTGGGTGCAGAAATGCTGAAGGCCCGACCATCGATGGTGGCGCGGGCAGGCGGGAACATGGAGCAGGCCGGAGCCTGCACAGCAGAGGGAGCGGACAGATTGGTGACGTTTGGTAGATCACAAGAGATAGGGAGGAGCGAGAGCAGCGATGATCTATGCCTTTCAATCCCATCATAACCTGTAACTGAATTCCAGTAATCAGGAATCTGCATATAAATTCAACCGTTCAATTAGATTACAAGCTTCACATGTTCATGTACATCATCTCAATTCCTGGATTAGATCATAGAATCATAGAATATTACAGCACAGAAGGAGCCCATTTCAGCCCATCGCGCCTGTGCCGGCTGTTTGGAAGAGTGACCCAATCAGCCCCACTCCCCCACTCTTTCCCCAAATCCTTGCAAATCATTCCTTTTCAAGTTCCTCTCCAATTCCCTTTTGAAAGTTGTTATTGAATCTGTTTCCACCCTTTAAGGCAGCGCATTCCAGACTGTGACAACTCTCTGTAAAGAAAGATTCTCCCCTTTCATGAAATGCCTTGTGATGGTTACTGTCTATTTAACTATAGCCTGTGGTTTCAGGCAGTACTGTCAGACCTGTGTCGATGTGGCAGTGCCCCATGGCGTGCACAGTGTGCTGGCTCTCCCCGTTCCGCTGATGGAAGAAAGTCCTGGCCATAATGTGGGCTTGGGGGAAGGTGCTGGGCTTCGTCACATCGCAAGCGTTCACCATCTGGTTGGCTGTGTACAGCGCCTGGTAACTCCGCTGGTCCTCGGGTCCGAGGAGCTGCAAGTGGTCACAAGCACAAGAACATAAGAATTTGCTGGTGAGAGAAGACCCAGGTCCATCTAATTAGTTCCCCTCCACCATCCTGGCAGTCACTGACATGTCGTGTCCCAAACTATATACTGTATCCCGAATATTTTCTAGCTGAAACCTATCTAGTTTGTTCTTGAAACAAACCACTTTCTGCTTTCACCGTCTGTCTCCCTACGAAGTCTGTTCTATAAGTTTACGACTCAATCACTCAAGTAGTTTTTCTGCAGTTTTGTTCTGAATTTACCCCCTTCAATCACAGGCCGTGTCCTCTGGTTCTACTATTCAGTACAAGACAAACCAACTTATCATGGTCTACATAATCTATTCCCTTCAGAATCTTAAAATAAAAAAACAAACATTACTTCTAAAAACCTCACAATGCCTCAGTGTCCTGAGCTAATACTCCTTCCCATTTGGAGGTTTCACCCAGGCGTCCTGTAGCTGGTTAGAGCACTCGCCTGGCAAGACAGGACCCGGGTTCAATTCCCGGCCAGGGTGAAATCTTAGGCAAGTTTCCTTACTCCACACGCCTCTGTTTATCTAGCAGTAAGTAAAAACCCGGTTTTTAGTCAATTGACAGATCGCTTTCTGGGGATAATAATCCCTCCACCACAAAAAAATAATAATTTGGTCATTTACTTCCTTACTGTTTGTGGTTCCTGCGTTTTGCCCACAAAATACAGTCAACTCACTTTGCAACACAATTTGTGAAGCTTTGAGACGTCTCAATGACGTGATAAGGCGCTACATCAAATTCAAGGATTATTAATATATAATCATTTGGTTTCCTTCCAATGTTGTGGGGATAAGTATGAGAATGTTTTCTGCCTGCTCACTTCAATATTTCATTTTTTATTAAGTGATTTTCCACAGTAAAACGCCATACTTTTAACAGTGGGTATAAAGCTTCCGGTTAGTTAAAGAAACAATCTGACCATTTCACCACATCCAAGCAGATTTATTTTGTGGCTCAGTTGGAGTCAGCATTGCCCAAGTGCATCACCCTGACAAGCAGCAGAACACAATATCAGGGGCTGACGAGGAATATTAACCTACAGAGGCAAATATATACAGGCTAATACACACAGGTTTTATAACTTACAATTTTAGGCTGTATTTTCAATGCATTTTCAGGCTGATCAACGTGACGAATCTAACTTAACAAAACCCCAAAACAGAATTATGGAAAGGAATTATACTCTGGGGAACAGAGGGTGATTTAATTATTTCGTGCTCAGCCCCAAATAACACCGCATTTTATTTTAAATAGTATAAATTGATCCCGACCCCGACCTGTCGAACTCCATTCCGGAGTCATTCTGACTCTTTCCCTCTTTTGCCTTGTTCAAGGTCCGTCTCAACACCCATCTCTTTTGACTGCGCTTTTGATTATCTTTCCCCTCCCAACCCTTCAGCTCCCAGCCCCCCTACCCCCACCCCGGGTGCCGGTGCCCACCAGTAGGGTCAAGCAATGCGCAATATTAAGTTTAAGAGCAGTGAAAACTGCAGGTAGTGAAAAGCTTTAACCTTTACATAAGAATTTGCTGGCGAGAGAAGACCAAGGTCCATCTATTTCATCCTCCACCATCCTGGCAGTCACTGACATGTTATGTCCCAAACTATACACTGTTTCCCCAGATATTATTTTCCAGCAGAAATCAATCTCATTTGTTCTTGAAACAAATAACATTTTCTGCTTCCACCGTCTGTCTCCCTCGGGAGCCTGGTCCATACTTTTACTAGTTGCTCACTCAAATAATGTTTACCCAGATTTGTTCTGAATTTACCTCCTTTCAACTGCAGGCTGTGTCCTCTGGTTGTATATGTGAGAACGACTTACTCCTTTTTTATTAAAAAATAAATAATCCTTTACACAAGATGTAAGGATTATATCTCTCATATTTTCTGTTCTTACCCCAACAAACAAATGTACACCATACAACTCTGCCTTTCATGTTAGGAGGACATCTCACAGAACGGCACCTCCGACAATGCAGGCCCCCCCACCAGCACTGCACTGGAGCGTCAGCCTAGACTATGAGCTCAAAGTCTTGACATGGGGCTTGAGCCCAGAACTCCTGACATAGAGGCGAGTGTGCTACTGACTAAACCAGGCTGATAGCTTCAATGTTTCTGTTCTCTTGTCAATAATCACCATAGTCACTATGGGTGAACAAAGAGAAATTTTTGTAGTCCCGTAGTTCAGTGGTTCGAGCACTCGCCTCGCAAGCGAGAGGACCCGGGTTTCATTACCGGACAGGGCAAAACCTTGGGCAAATTTCCTTACTCAACATGCCTCTGTGTACTTAGTAGTAAGTAGGAACCCGGTTGTTAGTTGATTGATGGATCGATTTCCAGGGGTAATAATAAATCCTTCCAAAAAAAAAATTAAATTTGGGCACTCAATCCACGACTGTTTGTGGGACGCTGTTGGGCACAATTGGCTGCCGCGTTTCACCCACAAAATGCATAGTTAACTGACTTTATTGTGCAATATTGTGTGAAGCACTTTGAGAAGTTTCGATGACGTGAGAAGGCGCCATATCAAATGCCAGGATGATTATTATTATTTCATCTTACCTTCGTCATATCGGTGAGGATCTCAAAGTCGACCAGCAGTTCATAAGCTCCTCTGTTGAAGACGACCAGCTCGGCCTTGTGGAGAGTGAATTTACGGTCAGGGTCTGGCGGGGAGATCGTTGTGCCCTGACCTGCTCCAAACAATCCATTGCAGGCCAGCTCCACATACAGCTCCAGGCTCCAAAGGAGAAAACAAAACAGTGTCATTTTTCCCCATATTTTCTGTTCTTACCCCAACAAACAAACGTAATTTACCACCATCCAACTCTGCCAGGAAACTCCAGCACATCAATTCCCCTTTTCAAATAGGATTCAAACTCAAGCTTCAAGGACAAGGAATACTTTTCCACATGACTGTTAGCAGCGTAACTTGTGTGTGAATGACCAGGGAAAGCTTTTTGGCTGGGCCCAAATGTCTCAACAACAAATTACATTTGCACAGTGCCTTTCACATCCCATGGCGCTGGACAGTCAAGGATTTGGATCCGAGCAGGAGGTTGAGATCAGGAGGGGTGGCGGTCAGGGAGGGAAGGGTGACCAAAGGCACAATCGAAGAGGAAGGTCTTGAGATGTGCCTTGAAGAAGGCAAAGGAGGGGGTGAGGCTAAGGGTCTGTAGGATGGAGTTCTAGAGGGTGGAGACAGAGAGGCTGAAGGCCTGATCACCGATGATGTGGTGAGCTGGGCAGGGGCCGCGGAACAGGCCAGAGCCTGCTGAGTGGAGGGAGCGGACAGGTCCATATGGAGCAGCTCAGCGGCTATGTAAATAAGAAACAAACAAATGGCTGCTTCTGGGTCACTGAGAAGCTGCTGCGTCGTGTGTGTGAAGTAGCGCTAACTTCCTTCACAGAGTTACGTTAACAACAACAACTTGCATTATACACAGCGCCCTTCACTCGGGGTAGTGTCCTGGAGCGCTTCACAGTGAGGGAGTCTAACCCTGAGTGGGGGAGAGGGAGGGGGGAGGTGACTGGAGGCACGATCAAAAAGGTCTTTAGGCGGGATTTGAAGGTGGGGAATGAGTGGGCAAGCTGGGGGGATCGAGGGAGAGAGTGTCAAGAGTTTCGGGGCGCAGTGGCTGAAGGCATGGCCACCGATGGTGGAGCGGGGGGAACAAAGGACAAACAGAAGCCCGGAGGCAGCAGGTGGTGGAGCCGGGGGTGAGCAGATTGGAGAGGGAGGGAGGTGCGAGGGCACAAAGGGATTTGAAAATGAGTGAGAGGATCTTGAAATCGATCTGTTTGGTGATTGGGAGCCAGTGGAGCTGGCAACACTGCTTCCCACATATACTGCACACACACAACATGCAGCTCCTCACTTCAGCAGCAACCGGCTAACCAAGAAAGTTGTCCTATTTTGGTCAGTCAGTGCCGGAGACCAGGTGTATCAAACTGCTGGTTAGTTAGTGAGCCCGAGTAAATAGTGACCAAGCTTCCTAGTAGATCCACACTCTAACAAGGCAGTGATTTATCAAAGCCAGCAGCCAATACCAGTCTAATTGAACCTGAGCTTCTAAACCAGTAAGGAATGCCAATGCCTTACACTCACATGGCCAAGACAACAACAACAACAACAACAAGATTCCATTTATAAAGCGCCTTTCACGTCAGGAGGACGTCCCAAGGCGCTGCACAGTTGGGTCATGACCCGAGCAGGGGGGAAATGGTCAGGGTGAGGGGAGGGAAGGGAGGGAGCGAGGAGGGGGAAGAGAGTCGAGAGGGGAGCTGAAGGCTCGGTCAAAGAGAAAGGTTTTGAGACCGGCCTTGAAGGAGGAAAGGGAGGAAGCGGTGAAGGCACTGGGGGATGGAGTTCCAGAGCCTGGGGGCTGAGAGGCTGAAGGCCCGACCACCGATGGTAGGGCGGTTGGGGCGGGGGACGTGGAGCAGACCGGAGCCAGAGGAACGGAGGGTACGGGCAGGTAGGTAGGGGGATAGTAGGTCGGAGAGACACCGTGTAGCTGAACAAACCCTAGAAACAGGAGGGGCAGAGGTGTCAATGTAGGAATAAACAAGGATAAGAGAAGGACTCCACAGCTCAGAGACATCAGTAAAGTACAGGGTGTCAACAAAGTCCTGTTACCCCCATGTGTTCTTTTCCTACAGAGCACTGACCAACAACAGAAACTTGTAAGAATGATGAGAATTGTATTTAGAAGTTACTTCATTGTATTCAGTACAAGTGTTTAACTGTATTTAGCCGTCCAGAGGATGGGTGTGTGTGTGAGTGTGTGAGCGCCAGCATTTTCATGGCAGATAATGATCCGTTACCATATTCAGTGCCACATCTTCTGTAACATGGAGTCAGTGAGGAGGTGAAATGTATCTCTGACAGCTAGCTTCAGCTCCTCTGTAATCTCATATCACTGTTTTGTAACAGGGAGTAACAGGACTTTGTGGACACATACCCAGCCACTTTATGATGAAACTTATCAGCTGGTTATGTAAGTCTAGTTGAGCTAGAGAGGAGAGACTGGAGCTGAATGATGTGACTGACCTGTGCGGCTCCTCCTGGGTCAGATTGTCTGTCAGGATGTAGCTCGTCTTCTCCCCTTCTGTTGTCAGGCCCTAAAGCAGCAATTCAAAATTTATCTTCAAAAAACCGAAACACTAAATATTTTAAAGTGAGAAAATCCCCTTCAGCCAGAATGTTCTAAACGCTGAGCCTGCAAAAAAGTCTTACGTATCCTCAAAAAACTATTTAATTGTGTGGAATTTATATAATAATAATCCTTACATTTGATATATCGCCTTATCATGTCTTCAAGACGTCTCAAAGCGCTTCACAGAATATACTGTAAAGTGGAGTGGCTGTATATTTTGTGGGCGAAACTCTTACATGCCAAATACATTTGTCTTTATTTGGCTTGGTAAGAATTAATGGGTGGGCACAATATTTGTTGAGTAATTGTAATCAGTTATATTCTTCTGCAGATCTGAACTCCTCAACCTCCCTGGGCTCTCCCTCAGACTCACCGAACCAGTGCGCAATCTAGGCATCTGGGTCGACCCCCAGCTGTCCTTCTCCCCACATCCGGTTCCTGACCAGGACCAGCTTCTTCCATCTCCGCCACATTGCCCGCCTCTGACTGTATATTACCCCAAATGCAGCCGAAACCCTGGTGCATGCGTTCGTCACCTCCGCCTGGATTACTCCAACTCACTCCTCGCCGGTCTCCCCAGCTCCACCATTATTATAATAATAATAATCCTTGCATTTGATATAGCGCTTTTCACGTCGGGAGGACGTCTCAAAGCGCTTCACAGAACACACTGTAAAGTGAATTGACTGTATATTTGTGGGCGAACGCGGCAGCCAATTGCGCACAGCAATGTCCCACAAACAGTCGTAGATTGAAAATGACCAATTTATTATTGTTTTTGGTTTTGGAGGGATTATTATTAGGCTCTGTGTGGAGTAAGGAAACTTGCCCGAGGTTTCGCCCTGAACTGCCGGGAATTGAACTCAGGTCTCTCACTTGCAAAGCGAGTGCTCTAACCACTGAGCTACAGGACTCCACATTCACAAGATCAGCTCATTCAGACTCTGCCGCCCACATACTGACCCGAACCAAACTCCCTACCCACATCTCACCAGTTCTGGCCCAGGCTCCACTGGCTCCCCATCACCAAACAGATTGACTTCAAGATCCTCTCACTCGTGTTCAAATCCATTCACTCCCTGACACCTCCCTACCTCTCCGACCCTCTCACTCCCCAATCCACCACCCAGTGCCTCCGCTCGACCCTCACATCCTCCGCCCCACCATCGGAGGCCGCGCTTTTGGCCACTACACCCCGAAACTCTGAACACTCTGCCTCAATCCCTCCGCCTGCCCCCTCTCCCCTCTTTCGAGTCCCACCTGAAAACGTTCCTGTTCGACCATACTTACGGCCACCTCCCCTCTCCCTTCGGCTCTAGTCAGGCTCCACCACTGTTAAGCGCTCTGAGACGCTGCCCTGCATGAAGGGCGCTAAATAAGTGCAAGTTGTTGTTGTACTCGTCTCCCTCCAAGTGTTAGGGTGAGTGTGTCTAGTGAGGTAGTGAGGGGTGCCGGGGGAGGTTGGCCAGGAGAGTGGCGGGGAGGTGGGGGGGTAAGTTTTGTGACAAAGGGTACAAATCCTGGAGACTTGCACCCCAGTCAGGCCCAGGACGCTGCCTTAAACAATCTGACCCCTTTATCCTTCGCTGGGAGTATGGTTTCACACCCACCTTCGCCCGGCTCCAGTGGCTCCCCATCCCCCAGAGGATAGAGTTTAAAATCCTCATCCTCGTCTTCAAGGCCCTCCATGTTCGACTGTGCTTAGTCGAACCTCTGTGACCTGCTGACCCCACATCAACCTGCTCGCTCCCTCTCCTCAGCAGGCTCCGGCCTGATCCACCATCGCCCAGCCCTCAGCCTCTCTGCCCCCACCCTTTGGAACTCCATCCCACAGCTCCTTTGCTTCGTTCCCTCCCTTGCCTCCTTCAAGGCACGTCTCGAGATCCTCCTCTTCCACTACACTTTCGGTCACCCTCCTACCTCCACCCTCTCTGCCCTCCATCCCCCCTGATTCCAACCCCTGCTTGGATCCAAATCCCTGACTGGATCCCCAGCACCTTGGGACGTCCTCCTGACGTGAAAAGCGCTGTGTAAATCTCATTTGTTGTTGTTGTTTGTTCCACCCACCATTACCTCACAATAACTCCTGTGAGAGCCTTAGCTCAGCTCCACGTCTCTGCTGTTTGGCCTCGGGGAGTGAAGCTGATGCTGTGGCTGATTTTCCCGTCTAACAAGGGGAGCTGATACTAACTGTAAGCCCGGCTCTGATCAACCACTCAAAGTCTGCCCCAGTCTGCAAGGCTCGTGTTATCCACTGACCCCACTGAGCTGTGGACAGACGAGAGAATTTTTTTTAATGGAAAATAATGCACTCGTTTTCCTGGGTGAAATATACATTCAACAACTTGCATTCATATAGTGTCCTTCTACATCAGCTCGGAGTGTTACATTCTAATATGAACTGGTAATTCAGATTGGCCTGGAAGTTTACAATAACATACCTGTATCGGAGTGTTGTTCCTCCATATCAGCCCTTCACCCTCGCTCTCCCACACAAAGTGCACCTCGCTGCCCTCCCAATCCTTCGGGATGTTCAGTGTTACCTTGAACCAGGCCGTCCACCATCTGTAGAGCGATGTGGAGAGATTAACTGTAGGAACAACTATAATCCAAACTGTGTGAAGGAGCCAACAGAGAAAATCAAGTCAGTTTCATAGAATATCACTGCACAGAAGGAGGCCAATCGGCCCATCGTGCCTGCTTTTGGAAGAGCGACCCAACCAGTCCCACTCCCCCGCTCTTTCCCAAATCTTTGCAATTTTTTCCTTTTCAAGTTCCTATGCAATTCCCTTTTGAAAGTTGGTGTTGAATCTGTTCCCACCCTTTCAGGCAGTGCATTCCAGATCATGACAACTCTCTGGATAAAAAGGCTCCTCATCTCCCCTCTAGTTCTTTTGCCAATTATTTTAAATCTCTGGTTAACGTCCCACCCGCCAGAGGAAACAGTTTCTCCCGATCTACTCTATCAAAACCCCTCTTAATTTTGAATACATCTATTAAATCTCCCCTCAACCTTCTCTGCTCTAAGAAGAACAATCCCAACTTCTCAATTAATTATAAACCTCACTCACTGGAGAAAGTCAAAGCCAACACGAGGTGAACAGAAACAAAGAAGTGAGAGTTAGAGAAATATTGCGAATTTGGTAAGAAAAAAATGCTTTTAAGAATAATCAGACTGTCGTAAAGGCTCCTGATTTTGAGCTACTTATTGATATCGCTCAACATTGAACATTAAGTTGAATAGTAAAGTAAGAATGTTCAGCTAGAACTAGAAAATATAGGTCAAAATATAACTACATTAATGATAATAATTCTTGCAATTGATACAGCGTCTTATCACGTCTTTGAGACGTCTCAAAGCACTTCATAGAATATACTGTAACGTGAATTGACTGTATATTTTGTGGGTGAAACAAAGCTGCCAATTGCGCACTCAGCTGTAATAATTAACCCTAACCCTAATACCGTCAAAAGGGGAACAACAACAACAACAAGATTCCATTTATAAAGCGCCTTTCACGTCAGGAGGACGTCCCAAGGCGCTGCACAGTTGGGTCATGACCCGAGCAGGGGGGAAATGGTCAGGGTGAGGGGAGGGAAGGGAGGGAGCGAGGAGGGGGAAATGGTCAGGGTGAGGGGAGGGAAGGGAGGGAGCGAGGAGGGGGAAATGGTCAGGGTGAGGGGAGGGAAGGGAGGGAGCGAGGAGGGGGTAGAGAGTCGAGAGTGGAGCTGAAGGCACGGTCAAAGAGAAAGGTTTTGAGACCGGCCTTGAAGGAGGAAAGGGAGGAAGCGGCGAAGGCACTGGGGATGGAGTTCCAGAGCCTGGGGGCTGAGAGGCTGAAGGCCCGACCACCGATGGTAGGGCGATTGGGGCGGGGGACGTGGAGCAGACCAGAGCCAGAGGAACGGAGGGTACGGGCAGGTAGGTAGGGGGATAGTAGGTTGGAGAGGTAGGAGGGAGCGAGGCCGTGAATGGCCTTGTAGGTGAGGATGAGGATCTTGAAATCAATCCTCTGGGGGATGGGGAGCCAGTGGAGGCGAGCGAGGGTGGGAGTGATGTGGTCCCGAAGCCTGGTGCGGGACAGTACACGAGCTGCAGAGTTATGAATGACCTGCAGTGTGGAGGGAGGGCCGGGAAGGCTGCGAGGAGAGAGTTCCCGTAGTCCAGCCTTGAGGTGACAAAGGCGTGAACCAGGGTTTCAGCCGCGTGAGGGGTGAGGTAGTGCCGTAGTCTGGCGATGTTCCGGAGGTGATGGAAGGCGGTGCCAGTTGTGGTGCGGATGTGAGGGAGAAAGGACAGCTCAGGAATCAGCTTGGGTGTTAAAAGTAAAGTTACCTGGAAATAGTTAAAATAAATGGATGTTTGTAAAAGAACTAGGACCTTGTGTCTATTCATTGCCTGCCATTTTGTTGGGAGCTAGGAGTTAAATTGTTTCTTTGCTCAGACAAAAGCAGGTCGGAGAGATAGGTAAGAGGGCACAAAGCGATTTGAAAATGAGAGAGGATCTTGAAATCGATCTGTTTGGTGATTGGGAGCCAGTGGAGCCTGGGGAGGGCTGCGGTGATGGGGGTATGGAGTTTAGTGAGTGATAGGGAGCCAGTGGAGTATGGCGAGAACTGGGCCGATGGGGGGACAGAGTTTAAAGTAAGTCAGTATACGGACGGCAGTTTTCGAGCAGTTGGATTTTATGGATAGTGGAGCTAGGGAGATAGACCAGTGAGGAGGGAGTTTGAATAGGTGAGGAGTGATGTGATGAAAACATGGACGAGGGTTTCGAAGGACACTGAAATCATTTGAGTGATGTTTCTCAGAACATTCCTGCCTTTGTACTCACGTGGGACCAAATGAATCTCCAACTTTAGCAGCTTTGAAGTCTCTTTTCACTGCCTCTTCATATGGTATACGTGATGGTGTCAGGAAATACGAGAGAGAATCCACAGGACAGCGAGCACCAAACAGCCTGCAGGAACCACAATGCCACAAAGCCTTTAGTTGCAGTTCCACGGATTAACACAATCTGATCAAATACGACTTTGATCTTTGTGGGAATGATCAAGGAAACTCACCTGGACTGAGTAGACCTTACCCTATTGGATATCCAAGGGCAAAGTCTATCACAGGCAAACAAAACATGTGGTGTCAAGCACTTTAATCCTTGCACTGCTCAAGAAACGGTAGACAAGTCTCTGAAGAGTACTTACTGTTACAATTTGTTGAGAATTCTCTTCAGGCATATTTACTGTCTAGGTTGAAGTATGGTGATGTCTGGAGTATCACAGGCTGCTTGGGATAGTATTTATTATCATAGCCAATATTATTATCATAGACTGCAGCTTGTTTCATTAGATAGAAACTACTCAATGTTGGTGGAAAAGTGTTATCAATAGATGCCGCTGAGAAGCCAGTCACTCACTCTGACCCGAGGAGCATTGTGTGTGAGGTTTGTGTTTAAATGTGCAGTATTGGACCTTTAATGTGCCTATAGATAATGACAGGAGCAGCAAGAACCAGTTTAAATCTGGTACACTGCTCTTAAGAACAGCACTTCAAACAGAATGTGCTTCATATACAAGGTCAGGAAGCAGCGATCAGGATTTGGTAAACCAACACTTTGTTTGCTTGTATCCATTCAATCAATTCAAACCCCACCTGAGGTTTCACCAGGTATTTCCGAGGAAGGTCCTCAAAATCTGAATTGGAGATAGTTTTTTGAAGTACCGTGACAGATACAGAAACTCTCACTTTGCTAAAGAGTTCCACCAATGTACCCACCTACACATGAAAATTTCCATAACTGAAATGGAATGTGCAATTTCTCCCTGGAGGGCCACATGCTGCTTACCCAAATACCAGAGAGGATGAGGGTCAGGTTAGTGAGAGCCAACATTTGGGGACCGTATAATTGTAGGTAAATGCGTCAGCCAATTTGCACACAATGTCCCACAAACAAGCCATGAAGTGAATGACCAATCTTATCTGAAGCAACAGTCTAGACTGTAAGTTCAAAGCCCCAACATGGCTGTTGTATCCAGAATCTTCTGACTTACAACTGAGCCAGGCTACACCTTAGGTCTCTGTTTTTGTTTCAGATTTCCAGCATCTGCAGTATTTTGTGTTTTGTTTGCACCTTAGGTCTCCTCAGTCTTGAAAGGTGCTATCTTAGAGGGACCTTATAGAAGTATATAAAATTTTAAATGGGATTGAAAACCCAGAACAATAATAATCTCTGCATTTGACATCACGTCATCAAGATGTCTCAAAGAACTTCACAGGATATACTGTAAAATGCAGTGACTGTGCATCTTGTGGGTAAATTGTGGCGGGTAAATTGCACACGTGGTGTCCCTCAAAACCGCCGTGGAATGAGTAACCAATTTTATTTGGGATTGTTACTTTCAATGTACTGAGACAGAACACACAGTTTGGGTTGGAAAGAGCAATGTTAGGGCAGACAACAGGAAATATTTCTTTAACGGGCAGAACTGGGGTGCCAATAGGGGTTTCGCCAACAAAGTACACAATCAATTCACTTTACAGTGTATCCTGTAAAGCGCTTTGAGACGTCTCGAAGACGTGATGAGGCGCAATATCAAATGCCAGGATTATTATTATTATAAAGCCATGATCTGGGCTCATTTCATAAAGAGCTCGATACTCTACTGTGATTGGGGGAGGTTCAGATGACTGCTGGGGGAGGATAGAGAGGGTGATGAGGGGAGGGCGGAAGAGGAGGGGGTAACAGGGAGACAGGAGAGGGGAAGGAGAGGGCCGGCAAGGCCAGATTGGGTGGGTTTCACTCCCAATTGAGAGGGTTTGTGTTGTGCTGCGCGTGAAAAAAAGTTTAATTTAATTTTAAATTAATAATAATAATAAACCTGTAAACCTGCCCCACTGTGAAGAGTTTTCTTACGCAGTTGGGAAGTCACTGGTCTGTGGCTCTGGTGCCCACGTTGGACACAACACACTATTGGGCTACTTTTTGGGCTCGTCTGGTGGCCTTTGGGCTACAGACTGTTGAGTTCCCGGCGGCCCGCGGGCCAGAGCTCCGGCACCGGGGGCCGCCCGCCCCACGGCCCGGCATTCACACTCACCGGCCCCGCAGGTTGACGTCGGTGAAGTAGAGCGGCGAGACGAACTTCTCGGCGCGCTCCAGCGTCGTGCGCCGGTTCTTTGCTACAAAGGCCGCCATGACCGCGGTCCGCCACCTCCCCGTCCCCCCGAGCACCGCACCCCGGACCGTCTGTCCCGGGAACAAACAGTCCGCGTGTCTGTCAGTCAGTCAGTCAGTCAGAGCGCGTCCCTCTCATTAACCTCAGACACTCACTCACACTCAGTCAGTGCGCTGCCAAGTGCAGGTCACTCAGGACCACTCTCTCCGCTGCTGTGCAAATAATAATAATTCTTGCATTTGATACAACGCCTTATCACGTCGGGAGGACGTCCCAAAGCGCTTCACAGAATATACTGCAAAGTGAACTGACTGTATATGTTGTGGGCGAAACGCGGCAGCGAATTGCGTACAGCAGTGTCCCACAAACAGCCGGGGATTGAGTGACCAAATTATTATTATAAATCAATAAACTATGCAAATCATGGAGTTTATTCAATAATAGAATCAAAGAATAATAATAATCATTCAATTCTATTGTTCAATTTATCCAAAGTATAAATCGATCAAATTAAATTATTATGAAAAGTCCAAACGCCTCCATCACATTACACATTGCGCTGTAAACCACGGCCAGTTTATAGCTCAGAAATTCTCCAAGCATTGTCTGCTCAAAATGAGAATGCAACACAGGTGAGAATCTCTCATAATTATTCACCTCCTCAATCTGCAAACCCAAAGGCAGTGGTTGTGGGATGTTCTCTGGTAGGTGCCACACCAGGTCTGTCTAACACCTGGCTGCTGTTTAAATCCCTAGAATATTACATTTTAATTTCTTTCTCTAATATAATTTGAAGCAAAGCTCCGTTCTCCACCTTCCCAGGAAGAGCAAATCCACTCACGTCAGCATCACCAAGTTTTTACGCTTCACCAAACTTTTAGTAATCATTTGAAATAAAATGCTGGCATTATTACCTACCATTTGTGTCACCCATATAAATGCAGTTAGCTCCGTCTAACCCATAAGGTAATATTTTAGCAGGTAAGGTGGTCAAACTGGATAAGGAGCTTTTACTTCTGAGCTTCCTTCTGCACTGTAAATTCTAACCATCAGGTAGGAAGCTTGTTGGTACCTTGTTCTCACACATTGCTGTCTTAACTGCTTCCAGTTCCAGCAGTGCCCTCGATGTACACTCTTGTGGCTGCCCAGTGTCTTGACTAATGCCAATTTGCACCTGAGTCAAGACACTAAGAGTGTACATCATGTAGAAGCAAGGGAAGGTATTGAGTATGGGTGGCAGAGATGCTGAATGCCTGCCAATGGTAGGGCTGGGAGTGCGGGGGACCTGAAGCAGGCTGGTGTCCGCTGAGCGGAGGGAGCGGACAGGCTGGTATGAGATTAGGAGGTCGGACAAGTGGGGAAGAGAGCAAGACAGTGGAGGACTTTGAAGGTGAGTACGAGGGTAATCCATGACTGTTTGAGACACTGCTGTGTGCATTTGGCTGCTGCGTTTCACCCACAAAACATAGTCAATTCACTTTACAGTATATTCTGTGAAGCACTTTGAGATGTCTCGAAGACGTGATAAGGCGCTGTATTAAATAAAAGGATTATTATTAGCCTCTAGAATGCGAAAACAGAAATTTTGCTCAAGTGTTTCCAGCACCTGGAACTGGATTCAACAACTTGCATTTATACAGCGCCCTTCACGTGGGGTAGTCTCCCAGAGCGCTTCACAGTAGAGGAGTCTGACAATGAGCCAAGGGGAGAGGGAGGGGGAAAGGTGACCGTAAACACGATCAAAAAGGTTCTTACATAACCAAAACACAAAATACTGCAATACTGGAAATAGGAAATAAACAGAAGTGGTTGGGAACACTCAGCAGGTCAGGCAGCATCTACGGAGAGAGGAAAGTGAGTTAATGTTTCAGGTCGATGACCTTTCATCAGAACTGCCCTCCATAGATGTTGCTTGACCTGCTGAGTGTTCCCAGCAACTTCTGACTTTTCCATAACTTTGCAGCCAGTGCGTGCTGGCTATTCCTGTGCAGAGATGGTGCTACTGAATCTTTTGTGTAATGTGGCTCTGTATTTTGTTTCTGCATTTCAGAAGTACACTTAGTTCAATAATAAAACCCAAAGTACTTTGTGAAAAACCATCTGAGCTTCAGATCTAAAGTTATTCCCATTACAGATTTAAACCAAAGTACAAACTAAAACAGAATAATTTAACAAAAAAAACAAAAACACTTCACACAGCCAGATTTCAGCCCTGGCGATATTTTAATGGAAATACTGAACTACAAGTCAAGTTTACAACTTCTGTATAGAAATCACACGTGGGTGGCCAAAGATCACAGTACAGAATACAAAAGCAATATATATGCATTGTACAAGCTGGCTGAAAAGCCTTGCCTCTTATAACTTTACAAAGTGAAAAAGAGAGGTTAGGTTACTGGGGACAAACTGTACAAATCAGTCTCCGATATTGACTGAGAACCATGTCAGTGAGAAAAGTGGCCATCTGAACAGAAGCAAAGGTTTAAAAGACAGTTTTAGGTCAATGTTGGAGGTTTGGCGAGAGGATGAGTACAAACTAATTACAGGGCTTCCAGCTGCCGTTAGCCAAATCTTGCCTCGATTTGTTTGTCCTTTTAACATTTGCCAAACTGAAGAATAAATGCAGATGTTTCATGCTGATAGGTACACGAAAATGACGGGGCGGGTGAAAAACAAAGATAATTTGGCTGATTTACATCTAAAAAAAAAGATTGTAACAAATGTCCGGTCTTTCATAGACCAGCTTAAGACCCCATCACTAGCCAATAGACCCCATAGTCGAATTACATATTTTCAAACAGAATATTTAGTTCCATGGCTAATGTGCATCAACCGTTGTACAAAAACAAGCTCGATGAACTTAAAGTTTTTTTTGCTATAAAATGAAACCCAGAAAGAATACAGTTGCTGCTCAGTCTTATCGAAATACAAATGGAACCCGTTGAAACACATTTAAACAAAATCACACCTCAATGAGTAAAAACTTTTGCATCAAAAGAGGGGGAGGGGGGTAAGAATAAATCTTTAACGCATAAACTGCTTTCCAGAGGCCTCATGATCAGCAGTCCCATACAGCAGCTGGTGCTGCAGACACTTTGGGGAGTTTTTAACCATACCACAATTTGGCGGCAGGGGTGGGTGGGTGGTGGGGGGGGAATACGCTCACACTGCTCACCAACGAGTGAATGTTTCCACTCTCCCATAAGGACAGAATGAAAAAAATCACTACCATTAGCAACCTACATGTGTTCGGCACCCAAGGTGGGGGGGGTGGGGTTCAACTCCTCAATCACCATCTAACCAGTCCACATAAAGTTCACACTCGCTTCCCAAAAGGTCAGTTACCCTCCTCTTGCGAGCATTTTAAAATCAACCCCAATGTGGCTTACTATCTTCCAACAGCACCCTTTGCGTTGTTCACTGAGGTCTCAAATGCTACAATAAAGATGAGTTTTTTTAAAAAAAATAAAGTAAAAAGTCTAAATAGTTGAAACCATTTGTGTTGTAACACTAAGAAAAGCACCATCAGAATTTAGGGGCTGTCTGAAATGGGAGCAAACATTAATCAGATACACTTCAGTAACACACTGAAAGGTCACTACACTGTACGTGAACAAAACCCAGCTAGACAGCAGTCTCATCAGTAAAGGCCTTTTAGTCAGTCAACCACTTACTTGCTCATTACATCTTTAATACCTGAAGCTACTGTACTAATCAATTGGGTCAAATACTGCATAAAACTGGAACCAGCAGTCTAGTCTGCCAGACTTCCTACAGGAAGCAAATTGTGGTTGGAAGACTATGGCAGAGATAAAAGGTCTTAGGACAGGTCGCCTTACAGACCAAAAGTTCAATGTTTCCACAAAGAAATAAAAGGTGATTGGACAGTTCCAATGATGTCTCCCATGAAGTTTGGTCCAGTTGTTATAGACGAGCAAACTTGAATTAAAACTTTCTTTAAAAAAAAGGTCAAAATGTACTACGTAATAATGGCATGCTGCACAGGGACACTTAATGATGGAAGTGTTCTGTACATTAATGAGATATCCTTTTCACTAACAGAAATTCACACATAAAGAAAGCTACAATTACTCTGAAATCCCTTTGGTAAAAACTTTAATAATGGTGCCTCATTTTCTTTTCCATATTAACTAACTTCAAGCCACCTCATACTATGATACACAATAAGCTAGTAAGTAATGCTAGCACATTGATGCAGATTGTTTCTTTTTTTTTAAAAAACGTCTGTCGACAATATGTACAGAGTATTTACAAACCATAGCAGTGTCACTGTTTTGTTTTGTGTGTAGAGCTGGTGTATGGCATTGGATGAGACGCCAAAATCGTGGGCACAGTCAGCGAGGAGGGCCCTGTGTTGCCTGTCAGTCAGGGCCCCTTGAATACAGTGCTGTATTTCACCCTGTATCTGTTGATTTTCATGAAGTGCACGGTTTCCGTTTGACAGGTGGTTGTGCAAGGCAGCATGCCATCCAGGCCCTCTCCCATTAGCCACTTGTTTGTGTCCGCTGCCATCTCCCGGCCCACGTGCTCCTTACTCCACTTGTCCACCCAAGCCTGGAACCGCTGATGTAGCCGTGTGCTGACCCTCTCGTGAGACTGAAAGTGGGTAAAAAGGAAACAAAATGAGAAACTGCACAGAACAATAACTACCACGGATGTTCATGTCCTTATATAAAATTAACCCTTGCATCTGATGTAGCGCCTTATCACGTCATCGAGACGTCTCAAAGCGCTTCATAGGATATATTGTAAAGTGAATTGACTGTAAATTTTGTGGGCAAAACACGGCAGCCAATTGCGCTCAGCAGTGTCCCACAAACAGTCGTGGATTGAGTGAGCAAATTAGGTTTTTTTTGAAGGGATTATTACCCCCGAAAAGTGATCCGACAATTGACTAACAGTCGTTCTTACACAGGAGCACACAACAAGGCTTAAAAAGAAAGCTAGTGGATCAACTGTCCTCATCTCAGTAGCAAGCATATGCCATCTATCTTTCCAACCACACTCCCATCGCCTGGCTATTAAGTCAGTTTGGTGAAGCTCTTCGAGATGTCCTCCCTACATGATAGGTGCTATGTGAATGTAAATTGGTTGCAAAATGCTTTCTAGGTCAGCAAAACGATTCAAGAATTTTGACCACATGAGTTGGTTTGACCTCATTAGTGAGTGGTGACTTACAGAAACTATCCAAATGAGGACTCAGAATCATAGAGCGCAGAAGGAGGCCACTCAGCCTATCATGTCTGTGCCGGCATTTTGAAAAAAGCTTTAAAATCAATCCCCCCCCCCCATAGCCCTGCAAACTTGTCCTCACCAAATAATTATCTACTTCTCTTTCAAAAGTTGTTATTGAATCGGTTCTCACCGGCCTTTCAGGCACTGCATTCCAGATCCCAACAACTCGCTGTGTGACGAAATGTCTCCTCCCCTCCCTTCTGTTTCTTTTAACAACTATTTTAAATGGGTGCCCTCGGGTTACCGACCCACCCGCCAGTGGGAATAGTTTCTCCTTGTTCACCCTATCGAATCCCCTCATCATTTTGAAAACTTCTATTGAGTCTCCTCTTAATCCTCTTAATCTTCTCTGCTCCAAGGAGAATAATCCGAGCTTCTCTCGCCTCTCCTGATAACTGAAGCCCCTCATTCCTGGTACCATCCTGGTCAATCTCCTTTGCACCCTCTCCAATGCCTTGACATCCTTCCCAAAGTGTGGGGCCCAGAACTGAGCACAGTCTCGAGCTGAGGCCTAACTGGTGTTTACAAAGGTTCATCATAACTTCATGACTTTTGTATTCTACGCCCCTATTTATAAAGCCCAGTATCCCGAATGCTTTTTTAACAGCCTTACTCCTATAAGAACACACTTAGTTGTTTATTGTGTTCACACCCATATATGCATTAGTACTTCACAAAACTATGCAAACTGAAAGATTTACATGCACCTGTCTCATAGGAATGTCTCAAAGAGTTTTACAAATACTTTAGGAATTACAAACAAGTACAGTACTTGCTCAGTGTCCATCATATCCATATCTAACAACAATAATCTGTGTATTTGGTATAGCGCTTTTCATGTCAAGGGCAGTTAGTGGCTGAATAGCTAGCCTTTGACAGCATGTTTCCACATTAAATTGTTGTACAATTCTGCACCTGTGGCTATCAATTCTCAAATACAACTCAGGTATTTTGTTTTTCTTTCCAGCCCTCTTTGTGCCTGCTCCAATCACGATTTGGATTTTAAGTGTGCAGCATTAAAAGCTGTCATGTCCGCTCTGCTCCTCTTCCCACCAAAAATTTCCAAGATCTCATACTGACTGACCATTGATGATCGTGTGTCCAGTGTGCGAGTTGACCAGTTAATTGTGGTTGATACACAATACGACAATACAGTTTACAATACAAAATTACATTTTTAAAGCACCTTTCATGTCAGGAGGACATCCCAAGGTGCTGGATAGTGAGGGATTAGGAGCCGAGGGGAGGTGGGGGTTGGGATCGGGGAGGGTGGAGGGCAGAGAGGGTAGGAGGGAGGCCGAAGGCATGGTCGAAAGAGGGTCTTGAGGCAAGGAAGGGAACGAGGCAAAGGATATGTGGGCTGGAGTTCCAGAGGGGGGGGGGGGGGAAAACAGAGAGGCTGAAGGCCCGACCATCGAGCCGGACAGGAGACATGGAGCAGGCCGGACCGGAGGCTGCTGAGCAGAGGGAGTGGATAGGTTGATAAGGGGTTAGCAGGTCAGAGGCTAGGAGGGGGCAAGGTCATGGAGGACCTTGAACGTGAGTAGAAGAGTTTAGAACTCGATTCTCTGAGAGAGCCAGTGGAGCTGGTCGAGGGTGGGGGTGATGGGGTCACTGAGCCTGGTGTGGGAGAATACACGAGTTACAGAGTTCTGGATGATCTGCAACTTGTGGAGAGAAGAGTTGGGGAGGCGGACAAAGAGGGAGTTGGCGTAGTCGAGCCTTGAGGTGACGAATGCGTGTATGAGGGTTTCGGCAGCCTGAGGAGTGAGGCAGTAACGGAGTCGGGCAATGTTGCGGAGTTGGGGGAAGGTAGAGCGGGTCATGGCACGGATGTGGAGGAGGAAGAGAAGTTGAGGATCCAACAAGGCGCCTAGGTTCCTGACTGGCTTGGTGAGGTGGGGTTTGCATCCGTGGATGCTGATGCTGCTAGTGCCTGAGCTGCGGAGGCGATGGCGCGAACCAATCAGGAAGGCTTCAGTCTTGCTTACATTCAACTGTAGAAAGTTGGCTCTCATCCAGGACTTAACATCTGAGACATTCTGTCAGAACATCAGTGGTCTTGGGGTTAAGGATGGAGGCAGAGAGGTAGAGTTGGGTGTCATCCGCATACATGTGGAAGTTGACCCCATGTCTGCGGATGATATCACAAGAGGGAGGATTGCACAGGTTGAAGAGGAGAGTTTCGAGGACAGAGCCCTGAGGAATACCGCACAGACGGTGTGGGAGCTGGAGGAGAAGCCATTTGTGGAGACTAAGTGGAGCTCGTGTGAGAGATAGGATCTGAACCATTCAAGGACAGAACTTTGAAGGTTATGGTGAGAGGAGAGGCGGTGGAGGAGGAGAGAGTGGTCCACAGTGTCAAAGGCAGCAGAGAGGTCAAGGAGGACCAGGAAACAGAGGAGGCCCTGGCCACAGATAAGACAGAATGCCATTTGTCACCTTGACCACGGCTATTTCTGTGCTGTGGGCGGAAACCCGATTGGGGGGGGTTTGTAAAGGGAGTGGCAGGAGAAAAAGGAGTGAAGCTGGGAAGCAACAAGGATCTTGGAAAGGAAAGGGAGATTGGAGATAGGTCGGTATTTAGTGAGCAGGGATGGGTCCAGGGAAGGTGTGATGACAGCTGTTTTTAGGGGCTGGGAACGGTGCCAGTTGACAGGGAGAGGTTGATGAGGTCTGAGAATAAAGGGGCGTTAAAGTGGAGCTGGGAGGTAAGGAGAGGGGTGTACATTTATACAGCGTCTTTCCCGTTCGGAGGACGTCCCATTGCTGGCTGGGCACCAGAGCTAATAATGGGTGATCACAAAGTCGTGATATCTATCCTATTATCTAAAAAAAAAATCAGAATTTCTATAAGCCTGTTATTGTATCACAAGATTTTGGTCACTCTATAAGAGTTCTAGAAACTGTCCGGATTTGCAAAGTGACAGCACAACTGGGTTAACTGCAAGGTGAGCTTTTACTGTACAATCAATAGCCTTTTACCTACTGTACAATCAATCAATTAGTTGTACTGAAGACAATGAGGACCTTAGTGTGGAAAGTTTAAACCAGCGAGAAAATCTTTCCTGCCACTTAGTGCTCAATCTAGCACAAGGTCCCAGTGAAGCGCAACCCCTACAGCTTTCTGTTTCAGATGCCGACAGACTGGCTGTGCAATCCCAGCACGGTGTCTATTACAATTGAGTCATCACAGAGGAGGCAAAATAAAATACAGCCCTTTGGTGATATTTAGTTATTCTGCCACTAGATGGTAGCAACACTTGTAACTAACTCAAAACCCAGGTAGTTTCGAAGCTTACTATAGACGAGCCATCAGCTTCTCTCTCTCTATAACCACCATCAAGACCAACTCTTAGGAATGTTCCAACAAGAGATCAGCGATGGGATGTGATTCTATTTTAACATCAGCCTTTCTTAGTAAGAGAGAGAGAGAGAGAGAAAACAAAAATTACACTTACCGTAAAATCATTAAGGAACATTTTACCAAAGGAATGTGGAAATCCAAAAGTCGAGCCTGCTTCTAAAAAGGATAGAGACCACTGCACTAAAATAACATACAATATACTGACCTGCCGAGCCCTGAGTAGTGCAGTTCTTCTGTACATGTAGTCTTCGGATTTGAAGACATACACCATCTTGTAGGAGTTGAGTTTAAATTTGCACTCCATTTTATCAACATTTTCGACATTCTCCATCGACTTCTTATTGCCGCATTCTCTCACTTCCTTTTCCTGCTGCTCTCGGCCCCGCTGGCACTTACGAATCCTGCGCAGATTCCTAGAGAAGCACAATAAACAGCAGTCAGTGGCTTTAAATGGCATTTTCAAAGCAAAGTAAATACCCCACTATAATGGCCCCATAATTCAGAGCTTAATACTATTTTGAGATGGGGGAGTGGGGGGGAGGAATCGGGTGTTACACGTTAGTAAAGAAGTTACATGAACCAGAAGAAACTCATTCATAAACTACAGTAAAATCAATTTGTTGAGGTACCAAATTTGTCAAACCAGGTAATTTAACCATATCTCACGCTGATTTCTATAGTTCATGTCCAGAATGATTGGCAAGGTGGAATTTATGATCTGTGCTTTCTACAGTGTGCAAGAAGCTCTGCTGAACAAAAACAACGACAAAATGCCATTTATAGAGCGCTGTTTACGTCAGGAGGGCGCCCCAAGGGCTGAACAGTCAAATGTCGGGGCCCAAGCATGGGGGAGGGGTGGCATAGAAGTGAGGAAAGGCAGAGAGGAGGGAGGGAGAACAAAGGCACGGTCGAAGAGAACGGTCTTGAGACCGGCCTTGAAGGAGGCAAGGGAGGAAGCGAGGCCAAGGGACTGTAGGATGGAGTTCCAGAGTGTGGGGGCAGAGAGGCTGAAAGCCCGGCCTCACCAATGGTAGGGCGGGTCAGGCGTGAGACATGGAGCAGGTGGAGCCTGATGAACGGAGGGAGCGGGCAGGTTGGTAGGGAGTCAGCAGGTCAGAGCGGTAGGAGGGGGCAAGGCCATGGATGGCCTTAAAGGTGAGGAGGGAGTTCCCATAATCGAGCCTTGAGGTGACGAATGCGTGGATGAGGGTTTGGGGGCCTGAGGGGTGAGGCAGTGGCGGAGTCTGGCAATGTTGTGGAGGTGGTGGTAGGCAGTGTCGGCCATGGTGCGGACGTGGGAGAGAAAGGACAGGTTAGAGTCAAAAAAGACCCCCAGGTTCCTGACTGGCTTAGTGAGGTTGCGTGTGCAGCAATGGAGGCTGATGCTGCCAGCGCCCGAGGTGCGGAGGCGCTGGCGCGAGCCAATCAGGAGGGCCTCGGTCTTGCTGACATTGAGTTGGACAAAGTTGGCCCTAGTCCAGGACATGATGTTGGACAGGCAGTCGGTCAGGACCCCAGTAGTCCTGGAGTTCAGGGTGGAGGCAGAGGTAGAGTGTCATCCGCATACATGTGGAAATTTACCCCATGTCTGCGGATGATGTCATCAAGGGGGAGCATGTAGAGGGTGAGGAGGAGGAGACCGAGGACAGAGCCCTGAGGAACACGGCACGAGACGGTGTGGGGCCTGGAGGAGAAACCGTTTGCCGCGACGAAGTGGAGGCGGTGTGCAAGATGGGACTTGAACCAGTCAAGGACAGAACCTTGGGAGGTTGAGGTGGGAGGAGAGGCGGTGGAGGAGGATTGAGTGATCCACGGTGTCAAAGGCGGCGGAGAGGTCGAGGAGGCAGAGGGAGCCCTGGTCACACATGGCTGGGATGTCATTTGTGACCTTGATCAGAGCAGTTTCCGTGCTGTGGGAAGCACGGAAACCCGATTGGATGGGTTCATGGAGGGAGTGGGGGGAGAGGAAAGAGCGAAGCTGGGATGCAACCGCTCTCTCAAGGACCTTGGATAGGAAGGGGAGATTTGAGATGGGCCGGTAGCTAGATAGCTGAGATGCATCAAGGGAAGGTTTCTTCAAGGTGGGGGTGATAGTGGCTGTTTTGAGGGGGAAAGGAACAGTGCCAGATAACAGGGAGAGGTTAATGATGTCGGTGAGTAGTGGAGCAAGGAGGTGGAGCTGGGATTTAAGGAGGGATGGGGTTGAGGGAGCAGGTGGTGGACATCATTGAGGTTACCGTGTTGAAGACAGAGGAGGGGGTAACAGGTTCAACGGTGTGGAAGGATGAGTAATTGTCGGATGGGTAATTGTGTGGGGTGGGGGTAGGGAGGGGTTGGAAGTTGGGAGGGCAGTGGCAGCTGAGCGGATTCCCTCGATTTTGGACTTGAGGAAGTCCAGCATTTTCTCGCAGTGAGAGTCAGAGGAAAGTATCTGCGAGGCGTGTCGGGGACAGTGGAGGAGCCGGTTGGTGGTGGAGAACAGGAGCCTGGGATTGCCTTTCGCCTCCAGGATTAACCTGGAATAGAAGGATGATTTGGCTGAGGCGAGAGCGGAGCGGTAGGTTTTGATGAGGTCCAGCCAGATGTGGCGGTGGACCGTTAGCCAGATTTGAGCCAAGTGCATTCGGCAGTCCACACCTGGCTCTTGAGCGAGCGGAAGTGACTGGTGAACCAGAGTGAAAATCGGGAAGAGGAGGCAGTTCGGGGGGTAAGGACGTCAAGGGTGGTGGAGAGGGTGCTGTGGAGAAGAGTGAATGCAGCGAATGGGTTGTTATGAGAGGTGGGCCAGAGGGGGAGGAGATCAGAGGATTCCAGAGCAGCAGAGAGGGATTGTGGGGAGATCTTCTTCCATGGGCGGTAGAAGATGTTGGTAGGTTTGGAGGCAGTGGAGAGGGACATGGTAGTTGAGGGAGATGAAATGGTGGTCAGAGATGGTCTTGTCAGTGATGGCGACATCCAAGACGCTGAGGCCCCGGGTGATCACCAGGTCGAGCGGGTGACCGTGGGTAGGAGAGTGGATGTGGAGGGAGAGGTTGAGAGGAGAGGAAGAGGAGAAGTCTGCAGAGATGGAGCAGGAGGGGGTGAAGTGGAGGTTGAATTTGCCTAGGATGATGAGGCGTTCGGAGCAGAGGCAGAGGGAAACAAAGAGAGTGGAGATGTCAGAGGTGAAGGTGGGAGAGGATTTTGGGGGGGCGGTAGAGTAAGGAAATTTTCAGAGAGGGGTGGGAGGGATGGCAGAGTGTAAGGTGTTCGAAAGAGGGGAACAAGCCGGTGGAGTAGGGGGATAGGGCAAGTGACACCCTGGATATGAGGGCTACACCACCGCCACAATGGTTGGGACGTGGGGCATGATGGTAAGTGTAGCCGGGTGGTGTGGCCCCAGTGAGGGGGAAGGTGTCACCTGGGGTGATCCAGGTTTTTGTTAGCGCCATGATGTCAATGTTCTCATCGAGGATGAGTTCATTGATGGCCAGGGTCTTGTTGGAGATGGAGCGGACATTTTGAAGTCCAATGCGGAGTGGACAGTTGGCAGGGAGATGTGTGGGATGGGAGGAGATAGTGGAATGGTTGGCAGGAAGGGTGGGGATGCAGATGAGGGAGGAGAGTTTAGGAGGAGAGGGAGGTAAGGCTTATTCTGTGTGCATATGGATACAATCTGGTGTTTAATAACTCAAAGCCTTATTTATCTTGCACTTTCTTTTGCAAACCCATTTTTATTTCCTCTAGTTTTGTTTATTCTGCATTTGTTCTGCTTTTCATCATCCCTCATTTGCCAAGTGTTAGTTACAAAGCTTGTTGTGACAGTACCTGGGCAGGAACACAGGTTTCTGTGCTAAATGTTCACGCAATTCAGGAGATGTAGAATCTGAATTCACATAACGCTCCACGTAGTCTGACCAGCGCTGCAAACAAAATCAAACTGATAATGATTCCTCAGATATGGCCAAGCACACAGTACATATTTTACCCTCCGTCTCCAGTCAGCATTTCATTAGGAACTCCCTCCTCAGAAGGAATCACTGACAGATTGTAATAAAATAACAAAATAAAACTTGTGTAAAATCAAACACNAAAAAACTCCCAAGTTTTACTATGACAGAAGAGGGACAGGAGAATGGAAGTGGACATGAGTCAAATAAAAACAATGGTGATTTTTTTTCAAAGTAAATTATTCACAACTTCAGGTCATCAGTTATATTTGGCCCGCAAAATATAGTCAATTAAGGACCTTATATGAGAAGCAACAGGGTTATGGGAGAGGGGTGTAACACCGAAATGGACTAGTTGGGCTGAATGGCCATGCTGCAAGTTGCTGTAAACTCTCTTTATTCTCCGTTGTAATTGGTGCAGCTTTGCAAAACAACAAGCTTTATTTATAGTGAAGTCAATCTGCCCCATCAGGAGGCTACCCTTCACATTGCTGTCGGGAGCAGCCTTCACCAGACTCCGCCCAACTCCACACTCACCTCTGCTTCCACAGGATCATCTGAGATCTCCTCTTCGGTATCCAGCAGATCAATGGTTAATGATACCTGATCTCGGCTATGTATAAATGTCAGCTAGCAAGATAAAGAAATGAACAGTTTAAGAATTACAGTGTTAGAATGTGAAAGTAATTAATCTTCATTGTGTTAAATAAAGCTTCCATCAAGCAGTCTCTACCAAGTTCACAGTTCATAGCACAGCCCTTTCTAGCAGAGCTACCTCCCCACTGGAGATAACTAATCAAACCTGGTATTTTCCCAAATGAGTATACATTAAACTGCTCTACAGATCATCAAGTCTCAAACCTCAGGATCTGGAAGGGATACGAGTTACACAGAATCTCTCCAAAATAGAGAGAATTTGAAACTCTTACTGTAAGTTAAGATATTAGTGCAACACTTACCTTAAAACAGTTCTCATCTGACATGAGTTGTTCGGCCTTGCGCTGGTAATTGCCCTCTGTACCAGATCGAGATGATATGGTGGCCAGGGGACCGCCAGTAGCACAGTTATTGCTTTCCAACAGGTATAGATCGGTCACCTGGATGCAGATTTCATCGCTTACAATATGCTGCAGCTGTAGAGACAAAGGCCCAGGAAGAGGCTTTACTGACTGACATGAATCTGTGGATTAATGGTCTATTACAAAGCTGGAGACCGAGCTGATAACCACCTGGTCCCAATCCCAGTGCACATCAATTTAAGACTTTTTTTTAAAAAGCTGCTGCAAGTACATCACTAGATACTTCACGCTGCAATTCATATCTGCCCCACAGCAGGCTTGAGATAACAATAATAACCTGTGTAATTAATAAAGTGCCTCATGTCATTGAGACGTCTCAAAGTGCTCCGAATATACTGTAAAGTGGAGTGACTGTGTTTTGTGGGTGAAACACAGAAGCCAATTGTGCACAGCAGTGTCCCACAAACAGTCGTGACCAAATTTTTTTGTTTTGTTTTGAAAGGATGATTAGCCTCGGAAAGTGATCTGCCAACTAACAACCAGGTTCCTACTTACTGCTGGTAAACAGAGGCGCGTGGAGTAAGGAAACTTGCCCAGGGTTTGGCCCCCTGCCCGGGAATCGAACCCGGGTCCTCTGGCTTGTGAGGCGGGGGCTCTAACCCGAGCTACAACATCCTGCAGGTCACATGATACTGCAAGTCACGTGACACCCTTCAAATCATGTGACAGTCACATGGTGCGGGTGCAGCTGCTTCACTGCCCACCAGTGTTGCCGGGACAACGCGCACAGCCATTTTGTTGTAGCTTTCCTTCTCCCACATTACAACTGCCTAATGTCACCATAACAACAACAACAACCCTTGCATTTGATACCGTGCCCTTATCACATCTCCGAGACATCTCAAAGCGCTTCAACAGAATAGACTGTAGAGTGTAGTGACTGTGTATTTTGTGGGTGAAACCGTCGAAAAGTAAGGTTTTCAGGCGGGACTTGAAAAAAAGGGAGAGGGGCAGGTGGAGGGATTGAGGCAGTGCTCCAGAGTTTCGGGGCGTAGTGGCTGAATGTGTGACCTTCAATGGTGGGGCGGAGGGTGTGAGGGACGAGCAGGAGCCAGGGCCAGTCGAGCGGAGGCACCGGGTGGTGGATTGGGGAGTGAGAGGGTCGGAGAGGTAGGGAGGTGTCAGGGAGTGAATGGATTTGAACACGAGTGTGAGGATCTTGAAGTTGATCTGTTTGGTGATGGGGAGCCAGTGGAGCCTGGGCCAGAACTGGTGAGATGTGGGTAGGGAGTTTGGTTCGGGTCAGTATGTGGGCGGCAGAGTCTGAATGAGCTGATCGTGTGAATGGTGGAACTGGCGAGACCGGCGAGGAGTGAGTTGGAGTAATCCAGGTGGGAGGTGACAAACGCATTCACCAGGGTTTCGGCTGCATTTGAGGTAATATATGGTCAGAGGCGGGCAATGTGGAAAAAGGCCTTCCTGGTCAGGGACCGGATGTGGGGGAGGAAGGACAGCTGGGGTTTGGGGTTTGAACCGGACGCTAGGTTGCGCACTGGTTCAATGAGTCTGAGGGAGAGCCCAGGGAGATTGAGGAGTTCAGATCCACAGGAGTGAAGACGTTGACAGGAGCCAAGGAGCATGGCTTCCATCTTGTCCATATTCAGCTGCAGGAAGTTTGCACTGATCCAGGCTTTGATGTCTGCCAGACAAGCTGATAGAACATCGGGGGAACCTGGAGTCGCAGCTGGAAAAGGCAAAGTAGACTTGTGTGTCTTCCACAAACTTCTTATGTGAAACCAGTCTGATTGGTTAAGAAAATAACACGTTAAAGGGACATGCAGTTGATTCCCACCATTTGTATGAAAACAGTTTCACTATAATATTGTGTTAGTAATCCCCTTTACGGTGATGGTCTCACCTGTCGCACTATACTCTGGATCAGCTTGTCCATTGTAAAGGCAATGAATGCATGAATGGTAAACATTTCCCGAAGGGTGTCCTCGTATTGTGAGGAGTCCATGTTGCCGTCCAGGAGATTCCTCACCATATCCAGGAACGCTGTGTAATAGTCTTCCACTTCCACATCCACTGAGATTCAACAAGGTAACAGGTTAAAGCACAGAGTAATCCACACACTAGCACAAGTACAGTCCCACCAGCAGTGAGCCAGCATTCAGCCACACTGCATCCACTCTCTGGAAACCCATCCCCAGGGTTCCTCTTACCCCCTTCCTTCTCACCTAAAGACCTATCTTTCTTGGACTATGTTTTTGGCCTCATTTCCCCTCCCCTCCTCAGTTCCCACCCACCTCCGGCTCCCAGTCAGTTGAGTGAAAAGACGTGTTTCGCAATGGAAGGTCAGAATCGAGACCACCCTCTATGGCAGTCTTGCTAGTCCAGCCAGGCAGGTCTGCAGTATTCCAGAGCACTGTTGATGACAGACAAGGCTCAGTGGGAGACCCTGGAAGAGCTGCACTGGCTGCAGGGATTCTTCCCACTCAATTCCCATTAACCCTGCAAACCAAAGCCCAAATACATGGGGTAGTCCTAGCTGGACAGGCAGGGTAAAAGCTTGCCAGACAGTGCTATCAATGGCTTTAGTTGGTTAAGAATCCAGAGGTTACCCAATGCACAAGCCTTGGCTCTTGCCAACCTGCGCCTAATACTTTCTGGAATAAGGTAAGCAGGGCGCATTCCTCCAGGGACAGAGTGTGCATTCCATTCCACCAATCTATCTCTGGGATTTCAGGTGGGATTCATGGAATTCTCAGTTTGGTTTGGCGACCCTTACGCATGGTGATGGGTTTCTGCATGTGTCAAACACCCGGGTGGCCAACAAAAAAAGGATAAGGGAAATAATTGCTGGTTGAGAAAGTGATACTTTATTACAAAGGAAATCTGAGGTTGAGTTAGCCAAGAGCTGTATCTGAACCTGAGGGTGTTCAATACTGACATCTGGGTGAAGAAATGAAACAGAGAGGTGTGTGTGTGTGTTGGGTGGGGGGGGGTGGGGTGGGGAGAGGGATGGAGAGGGTAATGGAAAACAAACCCTCTCAATTTCCAGCACAGCCATTCATCGGCTCTATAAGGCTTCAGCCTCTCTGCCCCCACCATTTGGAACTCCACCCCACAGTCCCTTCGCCTTGCTCCCTCCCTTGGCTTCTCAAGACTCTCCTCTTCGACAGCGCCTTTGGCCACTCTCCTACCCCTACCCACCCCGCCCTGATTCCACTCCCTGACTCAGGTCCAAAATCCTGACTAACCAGTGGCTTGGGACATCCTCCTGATGTGAAAGGGGCTATACAGATATAATTTTGTATTATTTTAAGAATAAAGCCATATGACCCAGATCAGTGCCGTATGCTCACTCAGAGACCACCTGCAGATACTCACTGGGTTCCTTTAGCCGCAGCTGAAAAGCAGGACTATCGTTTTTGTCTCGCTTTCCCGCCAGCATATCTCTCTCTCTCTCTCGGCACTCCTCCTCAATCTGCTTGTCGGCCTGGTTGTAGATTTTGAGGAGTCGGGAGCAGAGGATCTGGTGAAGTCGGATGAAGATGTACCAGTTGTTGTTGACAAAGAACAGGTTGTACACCTCCACCATGCCCCGCAGTTTCTGGGCTCCCGTGTTGCTGAACAGCAGCCTGGGCTTGGACGGGCTGCCGCCGATGCCGTTGTGCTTTTTGGTGGCCCCCGTGGTCTCGTCAATGTCCATCTCATCTTCCTCCTCTTCCTCCTTCTCGTCCTCCACGTCAGACAGCTCTCCGCGCTGAGCAAACAGCAGGTCGGGGATGAAATGATAAATGATCTGTTTGATCTTGTACTTGTCTTCTTTCTGAATGCCTGTCTGCCGCTTGACATGGTGGATGATGAGAGAAGCCGCGTCCTCCATGATCTGCTTGTCCTCATAGACAAAGGTCAAGTGAGACCCTGATGGCACATGTGCATGGTCTTCAGAGGCCTGCTCTTGTCGCTAAATGGACACAAATGAGAATAGTGAGAGAAGGAAACACCAGCAGAGATACCTGACTGTAAAACCCTCTCATTCACTGAGGGCGAGTGGCCGAAGCTGCTTTACAGGAAACAAGGACTTTGAGACCAGGAAACCTATTGTAGGCCAGGCAGTGGAGTAGCCATCTTGTTTCCCAGCATTGCCCGGCTCCAGATCAGTTCCTGACCTGTGTGAAGTTTCCTATGGAGCCAATCAAGTCCCTAATGCCAGTGCTGTGCCCTTACTGCCAGTGAGCCACATTGGGCTAGCAGGCTCTCAACAACTGATTCAAATATCTAATGTTTTCTCAAAAATCAGAAAAATCTTTATAATTGTAACAAAATTACTCCTCGTAGGTATTAGGTCCCTTTAAATTGCTTTACGTTTGCAACATAAAAACGAGACATTTATTGGACTTCATGTTTTGTGTCGAGTTAAGTTACTAGTTTGTGGTCATTCACACTGGAGTCAAGGCGTCCTCAAAACCAAGTGAAGGTTTTTAATCTGAATAAAATTGGTTGAAAGTTTCACAAGGTTTTTCCTTGGTCAATTTGTAAAACAAACTTTTAAAAAAAGAGAATTAAGTCGCTGCTCATGTCCTAGCAGAGGGCACCTCACCAGGCACCACAAAACCAACAGGGATCAGTCTCTTTGGATGAAGCAAACAGCGCTGATGACACCACTCCCAAACCCAATAAAAGGCTAGCAAAGGTTGGCAGCAACACGTTACTAAAACTTACGTTTGAAAGCAAAGCCAAAGAGTGAGAGGCTGAGTGGATTTTCTCCTGGTTTGTTTGACAGAAAAAATAGACCCCGAAAAAAAAACATAATACCCGGGTTTTTATTTTGTGGTTAAAAAACAGACTTTAATGGTCCTTAATTATACAGCAGAGTGACCAGTCATGTTTCAATGTGATACCGAGTGAAAGGTTAGAGAAGACAAATGTACTTTGCTTCACAATCTGTGGACAGAGGTGAGTTTCTCATTACTGTACAAACCCTCTGTACCCAGCCCCCCCTCCTCCCAGCTGCAGCTGTTGTGTACCTCGTCATATATGCTCTCTATTTCATTCAGCAAACTTTTGGAGCGCAGAGTTTTGGTGTCGATCTGTTTGAAGTTGATTCCCTGATGATCGAGTGACTTCAGGTAGTATTTCTCATTCTGTTCTCTCCAGATCTTATTGAACCCTCGTTGTGCTTCTCGCCACTCCTCCTCCTTCCCTTTTAATCTGGGAAGGAAAGCAAGAAGTGAAACATTTCTGAAGGCAACTCATAACAACAACAAAATTACATTTATAGAGCGCCTTTCACATCGGGAGGACATCCCAAGGTGCTGGACAGTCAGGGGTCAGGACCTGAGCATGGGGGAGGGGTGGGTTAGAGGTGAGGGAAGGCAGAGAGGTGGGAGAGTGACTGAAAGCACGATTGAAGAGGAGGGTCTTGAGACCGGCCTTGAAGGAGGCAAGAGAGGAAGTGAGGCAAAGGGACTCTGGGATGGAGTCCCAGAGTGTGGGGGCAGAGAGGCTGAACGCCCGGCCACCGATGGTAGGGCAGGTCGGGCGGTAGACATGGAGCAGGCCGTTACTTAACCACATTAAGTAACAATCAGATACCATCATGGGGAAGTGACCACTTTTAACACCTTAGAAACAATTTCATAAACAAAGTGGACCCTGATTTAGTGCCTCAGTTCACCAGGAGCTCTTCTCAGAAAATCGCAGCACCCGACAGAGCGACCACCTTGGTTTGATCTCAAGGTGGGGAGACTCAGGGAAGTGGAGAGAAACTGGAGAAAGTGGAGACTGTGTATTTTGTTTGTGAAACACGGCAGCCTATTGAACACATGAGTGTTCCACAAAGTTTTGGAATGAGTGATCAATTTTTTTTTTTTTTGAGTGGGATTATTAACCACGAAAAGGAATCCACCAATTGAGTTAGCAAGCTACCTACTGCTTCGGTAAAGAGACGTGTGGAGTATGGAAACGCGCCTAAGGTTTCGCCCTGCCTGGGAATCGAACCCGGGTCCTCTCGCTTGAGGCGAGCGAGCTAACTACTATGCTATGGAACTCTGTTGTAAAGTTATCTTATGGTGGTGGTCAGTGGCAAAGAGAATTTAAAATAATGTCTTCATTTTCTCAAGGGAGGCATGAGATAAATAGGGTGTTTTATAATGTATTCTGGGACTGAGCAGATGGATTGTGACCATCATGTAGATTCCCACAAAGGCTCCTCAATATAATAATAATCCTCCCATTTGATACAGGGCCTTCGGACGTTCTCCCAACTTGAAAGGCGCTATACAAATATAATTTTGTTGTTGTCTCAAAGCGCTTCACAGAATATAACTTGAAGTGAGTTTATCGCACCGCATCAGGACGATTGTGTGGGCGAAACGCGGCATTTTGTCCCACAAACGGTCATGGATTGAGTGATCAATTTATTTTTATTTCTTTTTCAAGGGATTATTACGCCAATTGAGTAACAACCGGGTTCCTACTTACTGCTGGGTAAACAGAGGCGTGTGGAGTAAGAAAACTTGCCCAACGTTTGGCCCTGCCCGGGAATCAAACCTAGGTCCTCTCACTTGTGAGACAAGTTCTCTAACCACTGAGCTACAGGACTCGACACTATCAAACACCTAAAGCCAGAGTTTATCTCACCTCTTCAGGACAATAGGGACAGCCACAGCAGGGTTCTTTTTCAGGCCATCAAGGATATCTGCTGCCTTGTCGGCATATATCCTCTGGATGGCCTTGCGGTGAATGACTTCAGAGGTACCTCCGAGGGTGTTATCCAAGCGGAACTTAGTCTGATCCTCTGCCGACATTCGCGACATCTTCTTCTGAACTGTTTCCAGGACACGGATGGTGGCCAGATTGGTTTCTAAGACCACATCCAGCTGTGCCGGAAAAATGAAACAATTTGTTTTCATTATTTGGCAATAAAAGCTATGAAATTTGCTATGAAGCAATGTGCACAGAATGGAGTTGATCCTTATTTGGTTTTATGTGGGCTGTTCAACTCCGGAAATGCTCCAGAACGTGCAAACTCTCAGCTCCTTTCAGGGGGTGAAAAGAAAAAAGTGTGTGTGGGTGTGGAGCAGGGGGAGGGGGAAGAGAGAGAAGAAGAGTGTTGATCACTCCAATGTTGCGAAACCCAATCAGCTTATTACTGATTTTTGGTTGCAGAGGTTTGGGTGTGAGAAATAATAATAATCCTTGCATTTGATATAGCGCTTTTCACGTCAGGAGGACGTCCCAAAGCGCTTCACAGAACACACTGTAAAGTGAATTGACTGTATATTTGTGGGCGAACGCGGCAGCCAATTGCGCACAGCAATGTCCCACAAACAGTCGTGAATTGAAAATGACCAATTTATTATTGTTTTTTTTTGGAGGGATTATTATTAGGCTCTGTGTGGAGTAAGGAAACTTGCCCAAGGTTTCGCCCTCTGCCTGGAATTGAACTCAGGTCTCTCGCTTGCAAAGCGAGTGCTCTAACCACTGAGCTACAGGACTCCAATAGGATAATTCCTCACAAACAAAGCGGTGTGCAGTTAGCAAGGGCTCTTAGCAACCACAACCAGTTGGTTTATATGGCGCCCTCCACGCCAGACGCCGTCTCAGCACATAAAGTACCTCAACTATTCAGAGAACGGTCTGGTGGACCAATGACATGAAGAACCTCCCTGATTTTTTCTGTTCCTTATTGCTTTCAACATTTAACTCCTTCTGGGTCCTGACCCAACTGTACAGCGCCTTGGGACGTCCTCCCAACGTGAAAGGCGCTCAATAAATGGAATCTTGTTGTTGCTGTTCTGTTAATGTTTGCAGCTCAGTCACAGAATTCTACCATAAACAGAAGGCTAAATAATGAGCTGTTCACCAGTGTTAGCAAATTAAGATTACTAACATTAGGAAACTACCCAGGCTCAACTGCTTCCCAATCAGAACGGATCGATTTCAAGATCCTCACACTCATGTACAATCAATTCATGCCTTTGCACCTCACTACCTTTCTGACCTGTTTACACCCCACTCCTCTATCCTCCCTTCACTCAGTTGGCTCCTGCATGTCCCTTGTCCCTCCTCTCCACCATCAGAAGGCATGCTTTCAGCCACTTATAGACCTGATACTCTGGAGCTCTCTGCCTCACTTTCTCCTTCTCTGTCTTCAGATCACACCTGAAGATCTTCCTCTTCCCCCTCTCCCTGTCTTGGTGTCAGGCTCCACCACTGCTCTGGGATTATACCCTTTGTGAAGGGCACTATATAAATGCAAGTTTTTGTTAACATAAACAAATCCATGAAATGAGCCCTTAGTACCACATCTGTGTAGTATTTACTGCACCTCTAATGGGTTTAAAGCCTCACTTTATTGTTTGCCTACAAAATACACTTTACAGCAAATCCTGTGAAACACATTTGAGAAATACACTTACCTAATGCAAGGATTTGTATTATCTTTTATAAGTGAACAAGAAGCTGGTTGTCATTTCATGCGGGCCATGAAGCTTGGTGTGTACACATCACTCCTCCTCTCCCCTAGGGAGAGTGCTTACCTCAAACCTCTCATCCTCACACCTATAAATGTGCTCCTCATACTGGGTTTTCTTTGAGCTGACAAAGGTGGAGTCTTCAGACCAGGATGGGAAAGACACCCACGTGTCATTCAGCACCTGTAGCAGAAACAACAAAACTAGTTCAGAAAACACAACTGGGAACAACAGGCTTTATATAAATATATAGCACCCCTCACGCAGGGCAGCGTCCTGGAGCGCTTGACAGTGGTGGAGCACGACGCCAAGCCAGGGGAGGTAACCGGAGGCACAGTCAAAGAGGAAGGTCTTCAGGTGCGACCTGAAGATGGGGAAGGAAGGGGCAAGGAGGAGGGATAGAGGAAGAGTGTTCCAGAGGTTCGGGGCGGAGTGGTTGAAAGTGCGGCCACTGATGGTGGAGCAGAGAGCCCAAGGGACATGGCAAAAGGCTGGAACCAGTCAAGCAGAGGCAGTGGTTAGTGGTACAAATGGGAGTAAGACCAGACTGAAAGAGTCACTTGGCTCAGTTAACTTTAAGTCAAGTCAATACGGCTGAAACACCAAGAAACAAAATTACTTTCCTAAAAAGAGAATCTTATTTTTAGCTTCCACCCCATGGACTAGTGGCTAAAGGCCAGTACACAAGCTCAATTTCAGTCTATGCTAAGTTAGCTAAATGACATTAAAATTCCTCTTCCAGCCTCGTTTGCCAGTTGACCACTGAGAGTACCTCAGTAGTTGTGTAAGTGTATCAGCCTGTATATAAAATCCGCTTACCTCTTTGCAAAGGGGGGTACGGCCTGTGCACTTGGGCTGCTGGAAACTTTTGGGCAGTGCTCGATAACTTGATCCGAGTCGTTTACAAGAAGCGTAATCTATCTCCATGGCAATACCCTCCATCGCCCTCTCCTTAGGAAATGCCTCAATGTGGGATGACTCCTTATAACCCAGAAAATTCTTGAACCACACAAAGAGCTCAGGAAACTTCCTGCAAAACATGGTGGAAAATTCAAACCGCAAGTCTCCTCCAAATGACTCCCCCCTTTTCTCATGACGTGTTTGTTTGCTCAGCGAGGTGAACCACAGAAAAGATGAATTGAGGATCGAGAGCTTGTTATCCTTAGAGCAGAAAAGTTGAGGGGAGATTTAATAGGTGTTCAAAATTATGTCGGTAACCAGAGGACACAGATTCAAGTTAATTGGCCAAAGTAGCAGAGGGGAGACTAGGAGAACTTGTTTTATTTTAAAACAGAATTGTTATGGTCTGGAATGCACTGTCAAATGGAAACTGTAGAGGTACTTGAAAAGGAAAAACCTGCAAGAATACGGGGAAACAGCAAGGAAGTGGGTAGCTCTTCCAAAGAGCCGGCACAGGCACAATAGGTCGAATGGCCTCCTTCTGTGCTGTGATATGGCCCTGGTCTCCACTCAAGAGGTTTATGTAATGAGCTGAAATCAGAGTGAGAAGGATCTCTCTCCTTCACCCACCCATACCCAGGTAAGCAAGTTCATCTGTAAGGTTAATAACAACAGGGAAAACAATTATTGTAACTATTGTAACATAACATGTAGGAGCAGGAGTAGGCCATTCGGCCCTTCGAGCCTGCCCCGCCATTCAATCATGGCTGATCTTCTAATCTAACTCCAGCTAATAACCTGCCGCTGCCTTATCCCCATATCCCTTAATCCCTTTTTCAATAAGGTATCTATCTATCTCAGTCTTGAATATGTTCAAGGACTGAGCGTCAACAGCCCTTTGGGGTAGTGAGTTCCATACTTTCAGTGAAGAACTTCTTCCTCAACTCAGTGCAAAAGGGCTGCCTCTGATTTTAAGGTTGTGACCCCTGGTTTTAGTTTGTCCAACCAGGGAAACAATCTCCCACTATCTACTCTATGCCCTTTGATGATCTTATCGGTTTCTATAAGATCCCCTCTAATTCTTCTATATTCTGGAGAACATAGGCCCAAATTGGTCAGCCTATCCTCGTAACTCATCCCCTTCATCCCTGGTACTAACCTAGTAAATCTACGCTGCACCCCCTCCAAGGCAAGTACATCCTTCCTTAAATAAGGAGACCAAAACTGCACACAGTATTCCAGGTGTGGTCTCACCAGGGCCCTATACAGTTGCAGCAAGACTTCCCTACTCTTATACTCTAATCCTTTCATAATGAATGCTAACATACCGTTCGCCTTCCTAATTGCTGCTGCACCTGCAGACTAACTTTCTGTGATTGGTGTACAAGGACACCCAAGTCCCTCTGGACACTAACACATTCCAATCTCTCCCCTTCTAAAAAATAACCCGCTCTACTGTTTTTGCTACCAGGTGGATGACTTCGCACTTCCCTACATTATACTTCATCTGCCACCTACCTGCCCAATCACCTATCTATGTCTCGCTGCATTTTTTTAATGTCATCCTCTGTGTTGACACTTCCTCCTAGTTTTGTGTCATCCGCGAATTTAGATATATTAACTTCGATGTCCTCATCTAGATCGTTGATGTAGATGGTAAATAGCTGAGGCCCAAGGACTGATCCTTGTGGCACTCCACTAGTCACATCCCGCCAATCTGAAAAGGACCCGTTTATCCCTACTCTTTGTTTCCTACCCGTTAACCATTCCCCAATCCACGTTAATATGCTCCCCCAATTCCATGGGCCCTTATCTTTTGGACTAACCTTTTATGCGGCACCTTATCGAATGCCTTCTGGAAGTCCAAATAGACCACATCCACTGATTCACCCTTATCTAGTTTACTGGAAATATCCTCAAAAAACTCTGAGATTTGTCAAACATGACTTCCCTTTTGTAAAGCCGTGTTGACTTGGCCTAATTATATTGTGCCCTAAATACCGCACTACCACATCCTTAATCAACGATTCTAAAATGTTTTCCTATCACTGATGTGAGACTAACTGGCCTATAGTTCCCCATCTTTTCCTTTCCACCTTTTTTAAATAGTGGTGTGACATTTGCGATCTTCCAATCCATGGGGACTGTTCCAGAATCCAAGGAATTTTGGAAGATCAGACACAAGGCCTCCACTATCTCATAAGCTCCTCTTTTAAAACCCTGGGATGCAAGCCATCCGGACCGGGGATTTGTCACTTTTTAGTGCTAACAGTTTCCCGAGCACCAATTCTCTACTAATGAAAATTTCCCTAAGTTGCTCCCTGTCCTTATCCCTTTGGTGCATCTCTATTGTTGGCAGACTTGTTGTGTCTTCTCGGGTGAAGACAGATGCAAAGTACCCATTTAGGGACTCTGCCATGTCCTTATCCCCCATTACAACTTCTCCCGTCTCTGACTGAAGTGGACCTACATTTACCCTCACTAGCCTATTCCTCTTAATATATTTGTAAAAACTTTTACAATCAGACTTAATGTTCCTAGCTAGCTTACCCTCATACTCCTTTTTCTCGCTCTTAATGAGTTTTTTAGTTTTATTTTGCTGGTTTCTAAAACTCTCCCAATCTTCAGATTTGCTGCTTTTCTTGGCAGTTTTATAAGCCTTTTCTTTTAATTTGATGCTTTCCCTAACTGCTCTAGTTAGCCACGGATGAATTGCTTTCCCTGTGGTACTCTTATTCCGCAAGGGAATATGCGACCGCTGAGAATTTTGCACTACATCCTTAAATATTTGCCACTGTTGGTCTACATTTTTACCTCTTAATCTTATTCTCCAGTCTATTTTACCTAAATCTTTCCTCATACCTACAAAATTAGCCCTATTTAAATTCAGAATACTTGCCTCGGATTTAACTATATCCCTCTCTAACTTAATGCAGAATTCAATCATATTGTGATCACTCTGCCCTCGAGGATTCTTAATACCTACACTGCCAACTCGCCCTGTTTCGTTACACAAAACAAGGTCTAGGATGGCCTGTCCCCTGGTCGGTTCCTCGGCTGCTCTAGAAAGTTATCTCTCATACACTCAATGAACTCTTCTTCTGACCTACTTTTGCCGATTTGGTTTTCCCAATCTATGTGGAGATTGAAATCACCCACTATTATCGCTTTACCTTTCCTACATACTCCACTGATTTCTTGATTGATACCCTGTGCTATATTGTGATCACTGTTTGGGGGTCTATAAACCACTCCCATTAATATTTTCTGCCCTTTTTTATTTCCACCCATATTGTCTTGACCTCCTGGTCATCAGATTTCAGATCCTTCCTCTCCACTGCTTTTATTTCATCCCTAATTAACAGGGCTCCCCCCCCCCACCTCGTTTCCCACAGTGCCTATCTTTCCTGTAAACTGAGAACCCTGGAATATTTAACTCCTACCCTCGATCTCCTTGTAACCATGTTTCAGTGATGGCTATTAGATCGTACCCATACGTGTCTATCTGTGCTGTTAATTCAACATTATAAGAGCATGAAAGTGGAAGATAAATTTTGTCTGAATGAATACCTACTGTTAGTCAGATCTGCTAGCTAAATGCTGATCCAACTTGCTTGTTCACTGAAGGAATTTGATACAAAGGCTAAGTGTCTGATATTTAGTTTTACAAGAAGCGCACATTCTTTCTGTAAGATATTTGCAGCTTTTCATGGATAAGAAAATCCTCCAAGTCACCACAGCCATCAAAACAGGTTATTATTTGCACCCAGTTGCCGTCACTGCTGGTTCTTATTTTAAAGCCTCTGTCATTATGTCAGTTCTTTAAAAACTAAATCACTGGACAAATAAGGTAAGGTGCAGCTGTAGAAGGCTGGAAATACCAGACATCAGGAAACTATGAGTTTGGTTAAGATTTTTCAATAACAAATTGCTAGTTACAAGAATGCGGCAAAGTTAAGATAGTACAGTGAGCAGCAGGGTCATGGGATTGTGTAGTCCAGAACTTGATTAGCAATCAGTGAAAGCAGCACACTAGCACAGAGCAGATGCTTGCTGGCAGCATGGACACCACGCGTAGTTTTAAGTGGCAAAGTATGACCCAAAGCTACGCTCACACATCTCCTCCCTCCCGCTGCTCAGTCAGTAACCGCCCATCAGCCCTTTAATTGTCACAAATATTCACTGACTTTACATCTCAATTCCACTTCTCATTCAGCTTTTTGTAACCGAATATTTAATGGCCGAATATAATAATCCTTGCATTTGATACAGCGCGTTATCATATCTTTGAGACGTTTCAAAGAGCTTCACAGGATATACTGTAAAATGAATTTTTGTATATTTTATGGGCGAAACGCAGAAACCAATTGCGCACAGCAGCGTCCCACAAACAGTTGTGGATTGAGTGCGATTTTTAAAAAAAAGTGATTATTACCCCTGTAAAAGCAATCCACTAATTGACTAACAATCAGGTTCCTACTTACTGCTAGGTAAACAGAGGCGTGTGAAGTAAGGAAACTTGCCTAACATTTTGCCCTGCCTGGGAATCAAACCCAGGTCCTCTCGCTTGTGAGGTGAGTCCTCAGTGAATTGTACACTGAGCTGAAGGACTCCATGAATATCTATAATGAGGAAAGCTTTCTTTAGCCGCCTCGCCACAGCCCCGAGTTTCCTTACCCCAAGAATGGAGACACCAGCTGGACGAGCTCAGCCCGGGAGATCACCTCCTGGTTAAAGATGATAAGGCAGCGCAGGAAGTTCTCATACGCTTCGGCACTTCGCAGAGCTTTACGAACCTGAAGCCAAACAAACACAGGGTTTTCTCTGGAGCTTTGGTGTCCCTCCGCCACAATGGCCTCCAACCAGCCTATGTGGTTTGCTATCCCTCGTGCATTGTCTGTTCTGTGCTTAGAGAGGTGCAGACCAAAATGTCTGTTCCCTTTAGTAATTGGCACCTGTTAAGACTCAAGATGTGGCTGAGATACTCTTAACCACAAACTGATGGACTCATCACTACAGTAAGCTTATTGGGAGAGTGCATGTCTACCTCAGCAACTGTCCACATCACTTAGCTCTCTCAATCACATCAGGTTAGTAATTTAATGCTCTGTGTTAACTATCTGCATAATTTGTTAGTCCTCAGTGAAATGTACATTATTAAAATTTAAAATGCTGTCAGCTTAAAACATAAATTTACATTTAAATAGCGTGCCTTTTCAGGTCGGGAAGACGTACTAAAGCGCTTAAAGAAAGTCAATGTGTGCCTGAACTTAGGTTAATAACAATAGAAATTTTGCCAATAGAAAACCTCGTCTGCAAGTGTTCTGCTTGTGTCAGAACATGGCATGGTTTACCCTGACCAGGATCCTATTTCTTACCTTATCAAAGAATAAGGTCTCTGTTCCAGCTCCATGTTTACTGGCTTCAGCCAACGACTGATCTTTCATTCCCAATAACTTTGGCTTTTTCTGCAAGAGGTAGAAAAACAGGAGGGTCAGACTCCAACAGGCAGCTCAAAGTCTGCTTCCTCAGACCCATAATAGCTCTGTGTAACCTGCCCTGTTTGCTATACCCAATCCTCTTTGGAGCATTTCTTCAGTTTCAAAGTAAAGCTCCTGGATTTCCTCCTCACTGCAACCACACAGTACATCTGACATCAGCCCCTCATCAGGTCCGAGATTGAATCAGGAGGTATTTAAAAATCTGATTTCAAGAGTCTAACCTGTTGTCAATAGTTGACCAGCTAGTGGAGAGTACTGCCCACAGAGCTTTAACCCTGCCCCACTGAGCCACGGACAAGCCCATGCAATGCAAGATTATGGTGGTTAACCCAAACACCAGGCAAGTTAGCAAATCCAGCAGTGGAGGGGACAGGGTTGGGATGAGGGAGGGCACAGAGGTAGGAGGGTGACTGAAGGCGTAATCAAAATGAGAAGCGCCTTGAAGGAGGCAAGGCAAAGGGACTGTGGGATGGAATTCCAAAAGGTGGGGGCAGAGAGGCTGAAAGGTAGGGCGGGAGTCACGGAGCAGGCCAGAGTTTGCTGAACAGAGGGAGCGGAGTCTCGGAGACAGACCGCAGTGCAGAACCTCTACTTACTTTGATCGGTGGCGTGGCCCCCGCCCCAGCGTGACGGCGAATCTGACAACCATTCTGATTAGTTCTTTGCTTGTTGTTGTTCAACTGAGGTTTCTTCACCGTGCCCCCATGATCGTTCCTGACTGAGTCCGCCTTCTCTGCTGTCGTCTTACTCAGCAGCTGCACAAGAGAGAATACGCTGCTCAGCTCGGTCTACTCAACGCCATAGGATGCGCAGGTGGACATGTACAAGTGTATACAATATAACTGACATTTATACAGCGGCTTTCATGTCAAAGTGAATGTTTTAAAGTGCTTGGAGGTGCACCTGAGTTGGGGGTGAAAGCCGAGAGGGTGAGGAGGGGAAAGATGACATTTTGAGAGGTGCCTTGAACGAAGGGAGGGTGGGAGAAAGTCGGAGGGACTCCAGGTTCTACAGAGGGGGACAGAATGGCTGAAAGCCCATCGCCATTGAGCAAAGGGAGCGGCTGATGTGGTTATAATTTATGTTTGGTACAGTGCCTTTCATGCTGGGAGGATGTTTCAAAGTGCTTCATACATACTGTAGATTGTAATGACTATTTTCCAGCCAATTTGCACCCAGCAATGTCCCACAATCAGCCCATGACCAATTTTTATTTGGTGGATTGTTGGCCAGGAGAGAGAAACTCCCTTCTTTTGAATAATACCATGGGATCTTTAACATCCACCTGAACAGGCAGACGGATCTTGCTTTAATGTCTCAGTTTAAGCACCTCCGATAATGCACCGGAGTGTCAGCTTAGACTATATGAGTTTCAAGTCCAAATGGGAACCCAGAAATCACAACCTCCTGGCGAGAGTCAAACTGGCTGTTGAAGGTCGAGTCAATACGTTAAAGAAACTAAATACACACCAACAACAAAAACTTGAACTCCCTCTATTGCACCAATAAAACATATCCACTTACCATGCTGTGCCAAAAACAAGGTAGCTAAAACCACATTCAAGTAATCTACAGAAGCTAAAAGTGATACAACCGCGTTATAACCTAGAGTGGTATGACAGCCATTAGAGACAAGATGATTTTGCCCTATGTGACAAAGCAAAGACAGTGCTTTCAGCCACTAGGAACAGTGAGGATGCTTTATACTTTCCGAAGTCTAGCAGTCCACGACTAAGGAAGACTTTTCTCGGTTAGTTTTTTTTCATTGTGGTCCCTTGAAAGTTTTGAACCGTCCAAAAATGCTGCGGTTAAACTTCTGCAGTCATCACAGAGCACACTCTGGGGTCCCCCAAACCTTGGCTGTGAAAACCTGTGCCAAATACTTTCAGAATTAGGTAAGCAGGATACATCCCTCCAGGGAGAGTGTGCATTCTATTCAAATACATGGGAATTTCCATGTGTAGGTGGGATGCAACGAACTCTGTTTTGGATACACTTAGGCGTGGTGATGGGTTTCCACATGCATCAAGACACTTAGGAACACAAGAAATGCTAGCCAATAAAAGACTAAGGTCCATCCAGTCGCCTTCCACCTTTCTGGCGATGGCTTGCACATATGTCTCAAACTATGAACTGTATACCATGTTATTTCCTGAAAGAAAACTTTCTAATCTCTGTTTGAAGGAATCAACACTTCTTACTTCAACCATCTCACTCGAGAGCCTGTTCCACAGGTTTACTTTTAGACACCCAGCTGTCGAAAGAAAATTTATCCGCTGCACCATTTGTGAGCTTTTAAGTACTCATTTGGAAACACAGCTTGAATGAAATCTAATGCAAATCACTTTCTGTGCTGCTCCACACACATCATGGTAGATCACCGTGTAAACACAGAACAAGCAGTGGCTGCTGATGTTTGGAAGATGGTGTCTAACTGAGAACAGTGTGGGGTTTGTTCACAAGCTTCTTCCTTTCTAGATTCTATTCTTCCAGATTAATCATGTTATTAGCTCTAAATACATATTGTGAATGACCTGTTTCTGAAGTGTAGAGCAGTGTATGTTTGGCCTAGTCCAACCGTGACCCACCAACAAGCAGAAGAGTAAAACAAATGCCAGAACGTGCAACACTGCACTTACCACAGAGCTGTTGGCGTCAGGCAGGAACTGTCCAAACTCAGAGAGAAGATCCTCCTGGTTCTTAAAGAGGCGTGCCACCTGGGCGTAAACCTCCTGCTCGGTCAGCGCTGGCGTGTAGTTCCCACCAGCTTCTTTTGCGTTCCGCTGCTCCTTCTAAGAGAATGAAAACAGATCATAGAATCCATGTACCCAGGACACAAGACATGCAGTTGGGCGATTATGGCAGTGCGAGCGTTAAGTCACTGGTGTGTGTGCGTGTATTATGTATATTTGTAATAACCCAACTGTCTTGCCTCCACAAAGCCAAAGCATTGCAACCCCACGCTGACTGGAATTGAACCACCATACAGCTTACAAGCATTTTTCTCTACATTATCTACATTTCTCCCAGCACCTTGGGACATCCTCCCGACATGAAAGGTGCTATACAAGTGTAATTTGTTGTTGCTTGCCCAGTTAGGACTTTGAGTTGATCGGGCGCTGAGGAGAAATTTCCCAGTGACATGTCCCCCCCTACCCCACAAGCTGCACTGATGTGCCAGGAGGGCCCTGACAGATTCGTACCTACCTGACTCGGGTGAAGATTAAAACCCAAACAGATTCCCACCATTTTTCAGACACAGGATAATCACAAATATAAGATGTGTTACAGTTGCAATATTTTATGTGAAACAATTTCTCCACCTTCAGATATCTTGAGTCTTGTTCTCAAAAAAAAACAGCTCCCGACCACATGGCTCAAAGCTGCCATGTACAAAATCCACACCCACCCACCCCATCGTGTGTGCAAGGCCCCCCAACCACATTGTTCTGAATCTCATTCCCTCACCATTAGTGCAGCCTTTTACTGCCGTTGCCATGTGATGAGTTGTTCTGAATCCAGTGCAAAGTGTGAATATGAAGTGCATTCAGGTGCAAGTTTAACTCAATTACTTTCACTACTGCTGTGAGGAGAGCAATCAGTAAACAACAACATGCATTTATATAGTGCCCCCCGCATCGGACAGCGTCCCTGAGTGGTTAACAGTGGCGGAGCCCGATGCCGAGCCAGGGGAAGGTGACCTACAACGGAGTTTTAGTTGTATAAACGTTTCTACACTGGAGAACATGGAGCTCTGGGAGATACGCTGGGAGTTTCCTCACCTGGTAGGTGTGCAGGATCTCCAGAAAGGCCTTGTAGATATCGGGCTGGCCTTGGAAACGGTTCTTTATCTTATTGACATAGTTGATGGCATGGTTGAACTCCACAGGCTGGTTGTTCTGCATGGGCGGAGTAGTGGTGTGAGCGCTGGTCACAGGCGTGTGAGGCTGTACTGTAGGTGAGCGAGGGGAGGGGTACGGAGCCAGCAATGCGTTGGGCTGGCTGGCTGGAGTGTGAGTCTGTGATTGTAGTGGCTGCAAAAAAAATCATAAACCTCATAGCGAACATTTAAAACAATAAAAACAAAATTACATTTGTACAGCGCCTTTCACATCGGGAGGACTTCCCAACGTAAACATAGTTTAAAACGGAACACAGTTACAGGTTAAACCAACTCAGTCAAAGCCGAACCCTGAACTATGTGTCCCAAGTCAGTAGTGCTCACGATCAGTCATTCAGCACAGCACCACAACTGAAAGACTCCACATATTTTTTTTAAGTACGAAGCATGAATGAACTGTAACTGTCTTACAATGCAATAACATACTGATAAACTTGTTTAGAATGCACCAATTATTGCCAGCCGCGATTGCCACAGTGGAATCATCACTGGCTTTCCTGGGACTGACCTTTACTTGAACCCACAAATTACCACTTGAAATCTATGAGTGTTTATCGACCACAAGCGAGTGATTGTTCCTATATGAGTAGAGGATTTCGCCACTCACTCACTTACTGTGGTCTTTCTATACATTCATCCCAATTATCTCCTCAAGATTCAGAAAATGGTTTGAGTACACCCCCAAAAGACACACGGTCCCTTGGCGATGTTCCCACAGCAATGTCTCTGAGTGACGGCTCTGTGTTGTTGAGCTGTGTACGATTCTGCATCTCAGCTTTTTTTGTTTGATAAAAAGAACTGCTGAGGAGTTCTTGTGCAGCCCTGTGTCAATGAAACCACTGCTAGTTCAAAGTGAACTATTCTGCTCCAAAAACATGCCTGGAGGGAGGGCAGGTAGTTTAACAAAGGTTTCACTGCTTATCCAAGAAAACATTAGGTGTATATTGACAAAAGCCAATGCTTGGGAACCCCAGAGTCTGCATTGGAGAAGCTGCTAGGATTTAACCAGCTAAAACATAACTTGCCATTGAGAGCACTGTCTATCAAGCTTCCGGCTGCTTTTCCAAATTGCAACCCCGTTAGAGCTTTGGCTTGAAGGGTTAACAGGAGCCGAGTGAGAAGAATCCTTGCCCCAGCGGCTGGCCTCAAGTCCTGCCGATGAGCCAAGCTATCATCAGCAGAGCCCCAGAATACTGCGGACCCACCTGGCTCAGGAACCAGACTGGTTCAGGAACAGCGCCTTGGGACGTCCTCCTGACGTGAAAGGCGCTTTATAAATGGAATCTTGTTGTTGTAGAGGGCACACAGAGGGCTGTATATCACTGTGTTACAATCACATTTTATGATTAGTTCACTCTGGCTAATAAGACACAGGGAAGGCCCACTGTCTCTTTATGTGTACTTTGCAAAGTTCCATTACGTCTCTTTACAAAACCCTCTTATAACTTTACACACATCAGTTGCATCATAGTAACGACAAACTTGGGGAAATACTTCCAACAATGTTCGGGAGAACATTCCGCAAAGCAGAGCAAATGGTCAAAAGTATTGCTGATTATTTGAAGTCTAGATTTATTGTGTTTGTCATTCAGAATACTTCTAAAGTTAAAAATAGTTTTAGATTATTGAGTGCTGATTAATGAAGTCACGTTTAAAAACAGACAGGAATATACAGACTGGATTAATTGACTAACCACTGACGGTTGTTGTGGCTGCGGTACAGCACTCAACAAGATGCCATTGCTCCAGAGAGTCACTGATGTTTATTGATGATACATAAATGTCGCTATTTATTTTTAGACATCACTTTGTTAACTGACCAAGGATGTGCATCACATTAATAGGTAACCTGATGAGTGTTGGTGCGGAGGGGATTGGGGGGGGGCGGGGGAGATAGCAGCTGTTTCAGCAGGGCATCAACGGGTCACTGCAAACACTGAACACCATTCACTGTGTCAGGACTGGGTGTTTCCAGCATGTTAGACTGCTTTCATTGCTGTGTGAAACCAAGTGACCCAGAGCCCAGAGACCCAGAGGGAATCCCTGATCTATGCTGAGTAGCTGTTGCCAACCACGAGGCTGTACATGTAACCTGCAGATTGCTGCTCCTCCTCACGGTTTACATTTGTGCAGCTGAGATCTGATCTCTCTCTCTGATCTCTCCTCTCTCAAAGGTCAAATAGCCATAGCCTGGGGACTACCCGAGCACATCCACCCGCCCAGACCAACGCACCCGCACGAGCACCCCCACATCAGCACCCCCCCACCAGCTCCGCCCCCAACACAAACCCACCCACCAGCTCCTCCCCCACGCACACCCCGCCGGCCCGCCCGCGCGCACCCCCCCCGCCCGCCCGCGCGCACCCACCCGGCCCGCCCGCGCGCACCCACCCGGCCCGCCCGCGCGCACCCACCCGGCCCGCCCGCGCACACACCCCCCACACATGCCCACCCACACAACCCAGACGAGCGTACCCACATGAGTATACCCCCGAGCGCACCTCCCCCCACCACCGAGCGCATCCAGCCAGGTGAGCACACCCACACACAGTCACAGACTCCAGCAGTTACAAGCATCCCATTCCCAATATCGTACAGCGTTTAAGAGGGGGTCAGGAGGGAAAAGCCTGAGGAAGATTTTGAAGCTGTTAAATTAACAAATTAGTGCATCAGGCAGATTCAGCCATGAATGTGCCTGTGAATTTAGGCATGTGGGATAAGTCCATCATCGTTTATCAGAACAGTGCTGCCAGTGGCTGGCTGGCTGTTCAATATTCTGAAAAGTATTTAGCAAGATGGCCCCAGTAATTATAGCTGACACTTGCTTTGGCAAATTCAATTGTTTTTGACCCTGGCCCCTTTAATTTTACAAAGCACCTTCCAGAGAGACAACTGAAACAAAAGAACTTTCTAACAGCAGCAAAAAGGCAGGCAGACAGAGAGAGACCAACAGAGAGAAGAGACAGACAGCCCACCCTCAGTTTTCTGAATCAGCACAGGCACCAAAGCAACTGAACTGGGTGCCCTGCAAGCTGGAGGAAAGCAAATAAAGGAAGAGAAGGCTTCTCTCGTCATCTGTGTGGCAGAATGGACCCAAGTGTTCTGAAGCACTATTAGAATCATGGAATCATAGAATCTTACAGCAATGAAGGAGGCCATTTGGCCCATCGTGCCTGGGTTGGCTCAATGAAAGAGTGTTCCAACTAATCTCACTTTCCTGCTCTTACTTCATAGACCTGCAATTTTTTCCTTTTTAAGCACCTCTCCAATTACTTTTTGAAAGCTATTATTGAATCTGCTTCCACCCTTTCAGGTAGTGCATTCCAGACCATAACCACTCTCTGTGTTAAAAGAGTCGCCTCGTCTCCCCTCTGGTTCTTTTGCCAATTATGTTAAATCTGTGTCCTCTCGTTACCAACCCACCGGCCAGTGGAAACAGTTTCTCATGATCTACTCTATCAAAACCCCTCATAATTTTGAACACCTATTAAATCTCTCCTCAAGCTTCTCTGCTCTAAGGAGAACAATCCCAGCCTTTCTAGTCTCTTCACATAATTGAAGTCCCTCATCACTGGTATCATTCTTGTAAATCTCCTCTGTCCCTTCTCCAAGGCCCTGATATTTGTCCTGAAGTGCGCTGCCCAGAATTGGACACAATACTTCAGCTGAGGCCTAACTAGCTATTTGTAAAGGTTTAACCCTGGTTTGTTGAACAACTGAATGGATAGGAATTGCTATGGAGAAAGATTGTGATCTCACTCATACCTTCAGGGAGTTATACTCCTCGGGACTAGAAGGAATGATTGATTTTGAATGCAACACTAGTGTTGCTGGTGCTCACCTTGGCGAGTTTGGCAGGAGGCTGTGGTTGCGGCTGTGCTGGTGCGGGTGTGGGAGGTGTCAGCTGCTGGTGTTGTGGCTGTGGCTGGGGTTGGGGCTGTGGCTGGGTGATGTGCTGAGGGAGGATCTGATGGACTTGCCCGGGCGTCGTCACGTTCACCATGTCGTTGGTCTGCACCTCGATTTTGTAACCCGGAGGCAGGAAAGTGTTGAAGCCCATGATGAGGTCGGGGTGGCCTTTAAAGAGCTGGGAAACACGGCTGATCACTCCAGGTGTGTCGATGCTGCAAACAGGTTCACACAGGAAATAAACAATCAAGCATAGTGACTCCACAACCAAACAAACCGATTTATCAACTGCTCAGCTCCACTGAACTCCCCTCCCACCCTCAGCTCCTCTCGCACCATCGGGGTCCCAGGCTGTGAATTGCTTTGAAACGTCCTTTCGATGGAAAAGGCACCATATAAATGTAAAACTTGTTGAATCAGTGCGGTCATTAATGCAGACTCACTAAAGCAGCAGCATTGTGGCTTACTGCAAACTTTAGTCTACAAATTTACTGTAAATAGGAGCACAGAGGTCCCAATAGCAACAGGATACACATCAATGAAATAGATTATCCGACCCGGTCTATATCTAACCTAGTGCTCCCTCATCTGTTTATGTGGTTTAGGAGTCGAGATGCTCTTTGATGGGTCAAATGGGTCCAGTACCACCTGGTACAGCACAAAGCTACACAGAGCAGCAGGTTACAGGATTGGGTCCTGAGCTATTCTGTGTTAACTGATCTCATTAGGAAGAGGAGAATCAGACATGGTTCGTGCTCACTGTCCACAAACCCAGTGGGCATCAGGTGAGGCCAGGCGCAGGCTCAGCCGCAAGACCCCTAACAGCTGAATAACATGTCATCACTCACTATCAAATCTTGCTCATTAATAATAACCACTGCTACTACTGGAACTGTACTCAGATAGAAAGAAAAAGGAGTCAAATGCCTTTACGAGAGACAGAGTGAAGAATATTAATGGTAATATATTGATTGAGTGAAGACTTAATTTGGTCACTCAATCCACAATGTTTGTGGGACATTGCTGTGCGTAATTGGCTGTCATGCTTTGCCCACAAAATATAGTTAATTCATTTTATTCTGTGAAGCTCTTTGAGACTTCTCAACAACAGGATAATGCGCTGTATCAGGTGCAAGGATTCTTATTATTTTTCTATTCTGATGAGTTGTGGTGGTGACTATTATATAGGACACATAGAAACTCAGGGTGTGAACATACAAAGGAAATTACAGGTGTCTTCAATTGTGTATTAATCATCATTTAAAGGAACTTAATCGATTTGTTTATTGTAATTACTGATGTGCGTTCTGAGAAATAGCTCACACGAGCAGCTCATGCTAAAATGCTTCAAGAAAAACTATTTAAAATAAAGTGGGGGAGGAAAGAGAGACTATCACAGAAGGTTCATGTGAAACACATTAAATAGCTTAATCCTCCAAAGAGTATCTGAGAAGGCTCTGGGTGAAGCGGGATACCAATCTCTTCCTTACCTTTGCGACTTGAACTCCTTCATGATGTCGAGAAAGTCATTATAAACCTGGGGCTGATTCCCAAATTGTAACTTCACCTGGTCAAGGTACGACAAGGCATCCTCCACCTGTGGAGAGAGTGAGGACATGGTTAGCCACACTGCAATACTTTCAAAAATCATTTCAACTTCAAACTACAAAATGAAAAGTGGAACATGGATAGCAAGAAGTATGACATTGAATCAAGAAATAGTTTGTCCAGCCAGTTACAAGATACAGTTCCATGCATTTTTGCTGCTCTGTACAACCGCAGCCTCCTGCGCTAGCTACACTGGAACACTCATACCATGTGCTGAGCAACACCGCATTACCATCGTACAAACAGAACATAGTGTTACAGGCCTTATGCTGAAGGGCTGTTATTGCCAAGATAGTGTTATATAAACATAAGTAATTCCAGCACCGTGCAAGACAGTGTTATATAAAGTCTGTCCCACTGCGCTGTAAATGCTGACACAATTAGAGAAAACCCATCAACATGCTGAAGTGTACCAGACAGAGTTCCACACATGTATGCCACCTACACATGGAAATTGTCTGGTCTGAGGTGTGCACTCTTCCCCTGGAGGGACACACCATGCTTAGCTTATTCTGGAGAGTATTAACCACACATTGGCAAGAAGCAAAGCAGAATGAGGAGGGCATCTTTTAGATTGCACTGAAGTCTGTTTCTTAGAAATATGTTAAGATGCCCAATAGGCCCCTTCATGGATAAATATGGGAACGAATAAAAAAATTAATAATAATCCTTGCATTTGATATTGTGCCTTATCACATCTTCAAGTCATCCCAAAGTGTGTCGCAGAATATACTGTAAAGCGAATTGACTGTATTTTGTGGGCAAAATGCGGCAGCCAATTATGAACAGCAGGGTCCCACAAATAGTCGTGGATTGAGTGACCAAATTATTACAAAGAAAGAGGAGTGTGACAGAAGGAGGCAATTACAACAACAGCTTGCATTTATATAGCAGCACTTCATGCATCTTGGGAAGCAACTGCTAAATACAATAATAATCTTTACACATGGCAGAGCACCTCCCTTATCAGGATGTCTCAAAGCACTTCACACCATTCACTGTCCTGCGGTTTTTTTGTGGGTAAATATGTGAAATATAGGAGTGAAAAGAAGGAATGAAGCAAGAATCCTGAAATGTCCATGTCTAGGCGGGATACATGGAACTCCATGTGGTTGGATACTCTTAAGCATGGTGATGGGTTTCCCTATGTCAAGGCACCCGAAAACACCACAACCCATATTGCTCAGCTATATAACAACCTTATAATTACGTATAGGTTGACATGGAATTTCTAAACCCTGCAGCCTTGATTCAAACTCACTCCTGTGGTATTCGATCTTTCAGTTTGACTGCAACTCAGCAACAGCAAAGATGGTCATGCAGATACAAGGTTAGATTAGAGCACTGCCAGACACACAAGTACCTTAAGTCAATTCAAATAAGATATGGATGTTAATGAGTTGCACAGAGTAAAAACATCATGTGAAAGGACCAGATAAACAGCTGGGAGGAAAAACACTGACTTCTAATTTACATGATAAAAAGACACTTTGAACTGTTGATGGACTCAGATTAAATATACAGCAATATTAAATCGTGGAGTCCTGTAGCTCAGTGGTTAGAGAACTCGCTTTGCAAGCGAGAGACCCGAGTTCAATTCCAGGCAGAGGGCGAAACCTTGGGCAAGTTTCCTTACTCCACACAGAGCCTAATAATAATCCCTCCAAAACCAAAAACAATAATAAATTGGTCATTTTCAATCTACGACTGTTTGTGGGACATTGCTGTGCACCATTGGCTGCCGTGTTCACCCACAAATATACAGTCAATTCACTTTACAGTGTGTTCTGTGAAGGGCTTTGGGACGTCTTCTCAACGTGAAAAGCGCTATATCAAATGCAAGGATTATTATTATTATTATTATTACCATTTACCCTAAAGAGGTGGAATCTGGTATAAATGACAACGCTGAACCAATGACACAGGAGCTTGCTCACCTTCAGTCTCTGGAACTGCTGCTGTCCTTGTACTGGTGTGGCTGGCACTGCTGGGGGGTGAGCGTGGCTCGGGGGCACCAGAGGTTGCTGACCATGAGGCTGGACTGGAGGAGGGTGATGGTGGGCACTATGTACCGCTGGGGTGTGACTGTGACTGCCAGAGCTCTGAGGCATCGCCGACACCTACAACAACACATCTATAAACTGAAAGTCTGAGCTTGATTAAGTCATTCATTGAGAACGCTCTAACATGTGCTCACACTGACCCAACGTGTTTCTAAGGCTCCCGGGGGATTCTCTTGGCAAAGAAGTTGATTGATTTGTGTGAAATTGGGTCAAATAGAGTGACAAGGTCCCAGGTTGCATCCCCATGCAATGGATGTTAGCTGATCTCAGACAGGGCAGTGTAACGTTCAGCATCTCTGAGATAAGGGGAAACAAAGGAGTAATCTCACTCAGAGTTGGCTGCTAATATCAGGAGGAACTCTTGTCAGCTCAATACAGGAATCAGGACAAGGGAAAGATTTTGGGGTTTAAATCCTGGTAGGTCGAATTCACCCCGTCACCTTCCAGAGATTCGGTAACTTTAGTAAAATTGCATTTATTTCTACTATTTACTGCTGTTAAGAGCAAGAGCTTGTTACACCTACGTTAGCTGCTGGCAAGTGTAAAATCTTTAAATAGTTATCATTAAAATAATGTCCATGTGGGGAGTGCTAGGACCGCCCTAACCACTGGGGCTTTCGCTTGCAAGGTTAAAAGGAGCTAAGTGGGAAAAAATCTCTCCTCTCAGTGATTGAGCTGCTCCTCCAAGCTGATAAGCCAGGCTGGTTGGTCTGTCATCAGCAATACCCTGGAATACTGCAGACCCGCCTGGCTCAGGAGCCGGACTGGCGAGAAAGACCATTACAGAGGGCTAACTTGATTCTGATATTCCTCTGCCAGGCACATCACCTCGGAACCACCACCCCCACTCAAGGATGAGGTAGTAAAGTAATTGCAATAGAATGTGGTAAAAGTTGGTTAAAAAAAATCATTAAAAGGCATTTTAGAAAACGGGTGTAAAACGTATTTTGGAATGTTTGCTGGACTAGCACCAGGATACAGTGATCAGAAGATAATCAGCGATCTCTCCAGAGTTTCTAAGACACCACTGTTGATCCAGACTAGCATTTAACTCTGTAGCTGAAACGATAAGAGAGATCTCTGAGAAGCAGATATCTGAGAGCCCTCTATTTGGAGCTACATTCAGTAAACCTAAAAGTTAAAATCACATTAAGGTGCAGCATATCCTCCATAGATAACTGAACAGGTGAAAGTGTGTGCGTGTACATGTCTGGCGGAGGTAGGGGTGGGTGTGGTGTGTTTGTGTGTCTGTCTGAAAGGCGCTATACAAATGTAATTTTGTTGTTGTCTGGTGTGTGTCGTCTGGTCTGTCCGTCTGTCTGTCTGTCTGGTGTGTGTGTGTGTGTATGCACAGACAGAAATTAAGGCAATTACCTGGTATCCTGGCGTGACCGAATATTGAATGCCAGCAGTGGGCTGCATGTTCTCGGAGGTAGGCTCGTATGCAGGAGGCGCTGGGGCTAGCACACGATGCTGGTGCGAGAACGGTTCAGCGTTGCTCGCAATCCGACGCTGCTGAGATGCATAAACCGGTTCCTGCTCATCCAGTCGGCGCTTCATTATGTGCTCATACTCGAGGCAACCCTTATAAACCTGGAGGAGAGACAGAGAGTGAAGGCTCACACCTGACACAACCAGTCATAAAAACACCATAAATAGCAAAGACTCGGCAGTGAGATAAAACATTTAAAATGCTTTCTAACAAAACCCTCTAAACTCAGCTCATTGATAGTATTTTCTGATGGTTGAACAAGAAAATTTACTCAATAGGAGCATCATCAGTCACTAATATTTACACACAAATGGGTCAAAACCCCCAGGTCCTTCAACTCTCACTGGAGTCAAGCTGACCTTCACTGCCGGAAGGAAATCCCTCAGCCTAAGTTTCTCTCTCTCCCCTAAGATCATCCCAATGGGATAGAGTTTGAAGCAGCCCTGGGTGCCATTCCTGGTAGGTGTGAGTGCACAGGACTAATTCAGCACAGGTTTGCAAGTATCAAAGTAGATCTAAGTTGGTGTAGGAAATTGCTCACTGGTGCAGTAGGTGGTGATGAGGCAGGGAAATATTGTTTGGATACAGTGATTTAGCTTTACTCAGCATTTTCACCATTGACATGGTTGGGGTGAGAAACCAAGGCAACCCGAGCCTTACATATTAACAATTCTGCAACTTCACACCTGGAACCTGCACCCTCACACAAGAATGCCTCTCCTCAAAGTTTCACCACTCATCGTCCAGCACTCCACAGCTAGGCTCCACTGATTGCTCCCACTCATTGGCCCGCCTCCACTGGCTCCCCATCCCCCAGAGGATCGAATTCAAGATCCTCATCCTCACCTACAAGGCCATTCACGGCCTTGTTCCCTCCTACCTCTCTGACCTACTATCCCCCTACCTACCTGCCCGTACCCTCCGTTCCTCTGGCTCCAGTCTGCTCCACATCCCCCGCCCCAACCGCCCTACCATCGGTGGCCGGGCCTTCAGCCTCTCAGCCCCCAGGCTCTGGAACTCCATCCCCAGTGCCTTCGCCGCCTCCTCCCTTTCCTCCTTCAAGGCCGGTCTCAAGACCTTTCTCTTTGACCTTCAGCCTTCAGCTCCGCTCTCGACTCTCTACCCCCTCCTCGCCCCCTCCCTTCCCTCCCCCTGACCATTTCCCCCCTCCTCGCTCCCTCCCTCCCCTCCCCTCACCATTTCCCCCCTCCTCGCACCCTCCCTTCCCTCCCCTCACGCTGACCATTTCCCCCTTGCTCGGGTCCTGACCCAACTGTCCAGCGCCTTGGGACGTCCTCCCGACGTGAAAGGCGCTGTATAAATGGAATCTTATTGTTGTTGTTGTTACACCCTAGGTAGCATCTTAGTCACCTGAGCAATGCACAAGCAGTTTAAGATCCAGCTGCTCCACATTCAGCATCATTTCTGAATAATAATCAGTGGATAAAACAACCTAAATAGGGAAAAAGTTAGTTGCTGCCCGAGTGAAGGGTTAGGTGACAATTTGACGATTAGTACAGCTCACACTGAATTTCACATTCTCTCCGTCCACTTATACAGTACATCTGTGAAACCCTTTGAGACGTCTTGAAGACATAAAGCACTATATCAAATGCAAGGATTATTATTATGAGTGCACCAAAACTGTGATATTGCGCATTCAGGAATCCCTGAGTTCACCTTCCACTTACGTACAAGACAGCAGGAAACCTCAGTAACAACTAACCACAGTGAAGACATCCCACCACAAAAAGTGAGACAGCAACACTGTAATCGTTCTGCGCAACAGCTGAGTTTTGATAACAAAGTCAATGCTTGGTAGCTATTAGATACTAAAGTGTCACACATTCTGGAAGCTATAAATGTTGCATTCAGAAACCTGCCCATTCCTGCCTTATAGTTGTAGAAACAGAATTTAACCGAGAATTGAGAGGTTGCGGGTCTTGCGATGAAAGCTCCGTAATAAAGTTATTTAATCTGCAGCAGAAGCCAGTGATTAGCCAATCAAATGCAACATTCCATCATTTTACTGTAATCTTGCGGTGGAGAGTTTAGAGTGGATTTTAGTCAAGAGAATTCAGTCTTATTCCGGAAGTACTAGGCGCAGGATGGCAAATGCCAAGGCTTGGGGACCCCAGAGTGTGCATTGGGGCAACTGCTGGAGTCTAGCCAGCGCAAAACGCACGGCTTGGCATTGATATTGATGTCTGGCAAGCTTTCCCGCTGCTTTTCCAACTAGGACCACCCTACCCATCAGGGCTTTGGCTGCAGGGTTAACAGGAGCCGAGTGGGATAACTCCCTGCCCCCAGTGACTGGTCTGCCCTTCCAGGTCCTGCTGACGAGCCAGGCTTGGCAACAGCAGTGCCAAAGACCATTCTGCAAATCGGGAGCAAGTGAGGAACCCTTTGTGTCTTTTAAATAAAGTCTGTTACACAATGCTTTTTTCCCCAGAAAAAAGTGGGAAAAATTTAATTTGACAGCTACTCACTGGTCCAGATGACCAGCAAATTTATAACAGTTATTCTACTTCATGCATAGTTTTCTCCTTTCAATGTACTCAGTCTTCACTGCTGCTGGAAAAGACTTTTCTGAAGCTATCGTATTAATGAATTAAGGAAGCCTTCAAGTTACATTTGTACATACTGGATTACACAAACATTCATGCATTAGTTGTTATTTAAATCATCTGTCCTTCAGAAGAGACGTTAAACCAAGGTCCAGTCTGCCAGCTCAGATGAATGGTAAAGATCCCATGGGAGTATTCGAAGAGAGCAGTTTCACTCGGTTTCCTGGCCAACAATCCCCTGAATAAAATTGGTCGCTCCGTCAATGTGTGTTTGTGAGACATTAATGTGCGCAAATTGGTGCCTGTGTTTACCTCCACTCTAAAATAAACCCCGCTTTGAGACTTTGATGATGTGATAATGCCCTCATCAAATTCAAGGATTAGTTATTAGATTAATTAATATTAAATAATATTAGAGTAACTATAGTTATTCAGGCAAAAATGACAGCTAATCTATGCCAGCAACATCCTACAAACATCAATGAGACAGACCACTGTCGAGTTTAAGAGAGATGAATATTGTACAGGACACTGGAAAAAATCCACTGATCTCTTTCAAAATAGCACCACATTATCTTTAATGACCACCTGAAACACTAAGACCAGGCATGTGGTTTAATATCTGGTCCAAAAGGATGTGGGCCACCTCTGACAATATAGCACACCCTGCCTCAGTACAACACTGCATTTAGGACAGAGCCAAGAAAGTAGCCTTACTAAAAGAGCATTCATAAACGTGCAAAATAATAAGCAGCAAAAGGCAACACACTATCGATTAAAATACTAGAAAATCCATACTAAAGAATAAATGGTTGACAGCAATTCAATCAATTGTTTCTGTTGCCAAACTACTCTGAAAGGTTTAATACCAACAGAATTATAGATTAAATTACAGCAGAGATGGTGTCATTTTTAGATTATTCTTCTACAATGTAGAATCCTGAGCTCCTGAAATAAGCCAGAAAAGGGGTGTTGGGGGTGGGGGAAGAGGGCAGGATAGGTAGTGATGCAGGAACTGCCGGCACAGATTGAAAGGACTTGTTATTTTGTTCTCACAGTCGATTATTTGGAAATGAATTGAATCACATTACAAATAAACAGCGTGTTAGATTACATTTCAGGTCTATTAGACAACTGAACCTCTGACAAAAAAAGAACACTTCACAGTAACTACAAAACCACAGAATTCAATAAAGAGACATAAAGCACCTTACAAAGCCTAATTTTCCATATTTGATTCATTTAACCCTTTGTTCAATTACAGGATCAACCTTCAAATATGAAAGCACATTTTTCTATCCTGGAACGATTCACAAAGACACTCATGTGCATTTGATCCTTGAATCCTAACTCGTAGCACTGGCCTCATCACTAACTAAATACTGGAGATTTCTCTGCATTACAATCTTACCAAGAATTCTGGTCTGAGCAACTTGAAAGCCACATTTTCAGTCAATATCATCAAATGCCAAGGAGAAGGCACGGGACTCTCCCAATTTGTGTGGCTTCATCAACTGAGGCCTTCAGTGCACTTCTTTATATACAAATAACTTGTGTTTCACTATTGTGATCAAAAGCCAACTCCTCCAAACAAAAAAATGCGCCATGTCAAAGGCTCCTGTTTAGAAGTTATGGGGGGGGGGGGGGAAAGAAAACTTGAAACAGTTCATTGATATGAGCTGTAAATAATAGTAATCCTTGCATTTGATACAGACCATATCACGTTGTTGAGATGTCTCAATGTGCTGCACAGATATTGTAAAGTGAATTGACTGTATGTTGTGGGCGAAACGCAGCAGCCAATTGTGCACGGCAATGTCCCACAAACAGACTTGAAATTTTATTGCCCCAGATCTCATTTTCTGATCACAAAGGAGATTGCTTAGAAAATAAAGTATTTTTTAAAAATCCCCACACATCACATGACAAGGTTCAACATATAGCATTGGACAAGTGTGGAAGACAGAAGCAGCCCGTGGGTAAACTCCTGCAGTCACAGGGGAACAGAGGGGAGGAACTACAACTCCCATGATGCTTTGCTTATTTCCTCAGGACTTAATCTACATTCAAGGAGCAAAGAGTGAAGCCAAGTTTACAGATTTCACCAGAAAGCAGTGACTTGGCTCTGGAGAGGTCAGGGTAACTAAACCATCCACTACTTAAAGCACAGTCAAACGTAGAGAGTGCTGCACCCATTGCCAAAAGATCATTTGTTTTGTCAGCGGGTTGCCCTGAAAGTAGTCGGGAAGCAAACAGTTCAAGCATAGGGAACAGCCCCAATGGTGTAGTGAATACAGTAACAATAATAATTTGGTCATTCAATCCACAACTGTTTGTGGGACACTGTTATGTGCAATTCGCTGCCGCGTTTCGCCCACAAAATATACAGTCAATTCACTTTACAGTATATTCTGTGAAGCGCTTTGAGACGTCTCGAAGACGTGATAAGGCGGCATATCAAATGCAATTATTATTATATTATTACAGCCGCAGTTTAGGAGCAGGACCAGGGCTCTGGTTTGAATCTCTGTTGAGTTCACTGGTCTGAACAGCTTGGATGCCCCCACCCCACCGGGTTGGGGAGGAGAGAGCGGAAGGCTTCCAGCTCTGCGGCACCCTGCACTGGTGAGCAAAGGCCAGCCTCAGCAGCGACTCCCTCTAGAGGCCAGTGAGTGGCCTCCACACTGGCTGCCAAGCTCACACAAGGGCACTATCGAGCAGGTTACCGGAAGACAACCAGCGATGC